CACGCTGAGCGTCAGCGCTGACGAACTACGCGCTGATCTATGAGCGCTGACGGTGAGCGTTGAGACTAAATTCAGCCTATAAGCTCGTGTTTTACACGATTAAAAGACACTTGACACTTAGCTTCAAACAAAGAGTTTCATAGTATTGTCTTTGATTAACATAACTTTTATTCATTTAATAAAACACTATTTTGACCGGATTGAAGTTATATACAAAGAGTTTCATTTATTTGAACTTCCCTTCAACAACCGCCCCCGAACTTAACTCGTGAGGAAAATTTAATTAGTAAATAATTAATATTTAAGATTTTTGACCAATTTTAATAAAAGAAAAATTTGCATGAACAAAATAAATTTTATGCGTCATATTAAATAAATATTTGTCCCTTTGTTTATAAGCCTATTACGGAAAAGTTTCTAATCGGATTTTGATGCGGTTTGCACCATTTTGACCCAAAAACTGTTATCATTTGTATGTTATTATTTTCATAGCATTTATGTTCTATAACTTTTCGTGAAGCCCTTTTATTATGCAAATTATTATTTGAATGACATCATCATCACTGTACGCTTCGCCAATTATATCAATGCACAAAAACTTATTTAGACTACTGAAAATTGACGAATAACTTTATTCTTTAAATATTAATTACAATTATGTTGACTTTAAAACGATGATATTTTGATAATGTGTTAATATTCTAAAATAGTTTAAGCTAACACAAACAACTAACGTAAACTAACAGATCGAACTATCTGAAATTAATTTTGTTGACACTAATAAATAATAATAATAAAAGCAGTGTATTCAAATACAGCGATAGGATGACCACGACCTTGTCCGTCGGTCCACAACTGCCTTGCGATTCTGTAACTCACTTTTCGAGCTCACACAGTGGTTTTCGCATCGGCGGTCGGACCGCCACTATGTGGAACCAGCTGCCCACTGAAGTATTTTCGAACCATTTCGACATAGGGACCTTCAAGGAAAGAGCGTACCTATTCTTAAAAGGCTTGCAAGCATTCTGGCATTGCGAGTGTCCATGGGCGGCGGTATCAATTAACATCAGGTGAGCCTCCTGCCCGTATATATACAGTATCATAAAAAAAAACACAAATATAGCGGGAACTATTTACTGGTGCGTGTCGCGCATTGTAAGCGAATTGAGAAGAGTGGGGGATGGTTGCCACTGTACCTTGTGTTATATAATATTAATAGAACAATGTTTAATATTGTATATACTTAATTATCCCAATTAAAGGATGTTGTTGATTATAAGTAACAGCGCAGGTGCAGTAAAGTCTTCGGTAATGTCAATTGTCACTCAAGGTCATATTATTTGGTATTATAAAACCATACATACGCTCATACGATACGCTTTCGTAGTATGAATCTTCAAAGTTATAACTAAGTTTATTTTAAGTTATAATATGCATATGTTATAATTAAGCTTCATACCCCCCCCCCCCCCACTAACTTGATTAGTCCGTTAAGGCCCTATCCCAGCACGAATTGCTGTGTCAGTGTGTCGGGGTTGTCTGCGGGGCGCAGTGGAGAGCTGGAGCACTGAGGCGCGCAGGCCCGTAATAACCATTAGTATATATAGTTATTTAAAACATTAAATGAATGTAATTTTTCAATTTTTATTTCTGAAATGGATGGCTTGCGATAAAATATATTGTGTAAATTTTAAAATCATGTTCTATATACATTTTCGTCATATAATGAATTCAAAGTGTCAAGAAATGGCTATGTTTGGATTTTTTTCTATCAAGCAAAGTTATTTAAATCGTGTATCGATCTTTCAAAATGGATACATAAACTACTCAACTCCACTCACTCCCTACTTCAAGAAACGGTGACGAAAAATGGAAAGAAACAATGTACTTTTTTGGAGTTTGGCGACCGGATAGGTCCTTAAATCAAGGCCAAAAACGCAAATGAAGATTTAAAAAGTTAATTTAATTGCCACGTGCAGCTGTTCCAAGTCAAATGTTTGAGTTGGCAAGCCACAACGATCAGGCTGTTACCAAAACTATTTGCTAAGGTCAAGTCAAATAAACGTTATCTAGGCTACCTCGAGACCGTGTCTTTCAGTCTAATTGAATGAACTTGCTTGTGTAATATTCAAATTTATGCACTTAATAAAATTGCATTCTTGACGTTAATTTAATAGAGTTTGTTTATGCAACCGAAAATGGGGCATGGGCCACGCATTTCTACGCCTGTTTCATTCTTTATCAGCATTCTTGCTGGTATGGTACTGGTATTAAACTATCGTGCATACTGCTTCGGATTATTGACCCCCCCCCCCCCTGTGTAACGCGCCGTAACGTTTTTCTGTACCCACGGACAGTACTATAACCAAGTATAGTAAAACGTTTCGTGACCACCTAGTGACTCCTTAAACCTAAAAGATACCATTATGTGGTGTGAAGTACTGGGTAGTCGAAAATAATATTAACAATAACGCGTAATTCAATCCCCGCCCCGCATCGTAACGTTTTACAAAAGGACCCCCCCCCCCACAAAATTCGTTACTTAATACTTGAACGCTCCCTTTTTCATCGTGAGCTTCTAAAAATATGATAATTAGACAGTTCTCTAGAAATGTATAACATAAAATTGATAATATTTTCTTAATACGTTTCTTATTCAACAGGAGGTAAACGGGCAGAAGGCTCATTTGATGTTAAGTGATACTTACATAACCAGAAGTCTCGCAAGCGCTTTGGCCATTTAAGAATTGGTGCGCTCTTTTCTTGAAGGACCCTAAGTCGAATTGGTTCTGAAATACTTCAGTGAAGTCTTTGATAGGTTTAATCACTTATAGATATGGTTTAAGATTAAAGCTTATTTTATATGTAATAAAAAAACTGCTATTTTATTATCGTTAGTAATATTTTGGCAGGACTATGATAATATACTAAGAAACGATTTGATTAATTCTTTATACCTATATTATCATAATATTTGTTTATATTTCAACTACTGGTTTCTTCACAAATTTATTAGTAGCAATAAATAAATTTCTAGACAGAGTAATGTTGGCCTAGTGGCTTCAGCGTGCGACTCTCATCCCTGAGGTCGTAGGTTCGATCCCCGGCTGTGCACCAATGGACTTTCTTTATACGTGCGCATTTAAGATTCGCACTAACTGCGGAGGAAAACATCGTGAGAAAACTGGCTTGCCTATTAGATTGACAAATGATCATAAAACAGATACAGAAATCTGATTTATTTATTTTTATTTCAATAAATTTGTAGGAACTTGATGCATTTTAATTGTATGAATTTAAATATATTTTATATATGCCAATATTACAGCGCGCAACGCGGAAATGTAACGAGGTTAAAAGTCTTAGAATAAAATTGTATAAGTTAATTTCTTTGTTCTCGGCGCGTCGCTAAAAATATTACAAATTCGTTGAAAATACTCTTCAACACTCAAATTTTATGTTTAATTAAGAAAAAAGCGGGTTTTTTTTATAGAACAGCGGGTAAACGGGCAGGAGGCTCACCTGATGTTAAGTGATACTGACGCTCATTGACACTGGAGGACTCGCGAGTGCGTTGCTGCCTTTTAAGAATTGGTACGCTCTTTACTTGAAGGACCCTAAGTCGATTTGGAAATACTTCAGTGGACAGGTAGTTTCACATAGTGATGGTGTTCGGCAGAAACTGCCTTAAAAACGCTCAGTTGTGCAACGACGGACGTCGAGGTGATATGCGTGGATTCTGCCTCGACGTCCGATTGCTTGATCGATCGCAGGTTGAATCCGATATTTTATTGAAAGGTTTGAAATGGAATGGTCTCGCGAGAAAGCCTTGAAATTTGTCGGATTACTTCAAGTAAATGCAATTAATGAGATTCTGTAATAATCTTAGTAGTAATAAGGTAAAATGAAATTGTTGTATTATTTGAATTCATGTCTATGATAATAAAAGCCTTTTGTTAAACTTTACCTAATTTAACTTTGTTTAATCAATTTCTGTAAAGTTGCATATAGTAGATAATTTTTCGAAAAATAAGGTCATAAAGAAGTTTCACTTCTTACGTGTGTACACTAGTACACGCACACATTTTTTATTTTTACTGTCGAGAAGAAGCATTAATGTGTAGATCTTAGCTAAGAAACTTAGCAACTTATTAAAGTATGTGCAAACTAAGTTAGCCCGAACACTATATCAAAAATTCCTTCCTAATGAAGATTACTAGGTCCTATCAGGCGTCGTTTAGGAGTAAGCACCAATAAACACGTCCGATATACTCTGGCCCACACCCAACATATTACGTGTGCCGCTTAAAGCTGGCATAGATATTTACATTCATGTAGCAGTTAACAACGATATCTGTTTGTATTTATAAACAAATAATAAATAATTCAGTGGCGCAACGATATAAGAGTCTTGGCCTCAGATTTCAGAATTAACATGAATATTTTTATATTTAAAAAACAAGTCTAGACAGTCTAAAACATGCCGGTTTCCGATCGATATTTGCTATCATCAAAGAACTTTCTCAATCGCATTTGCTTATAGAAAGAAAATCGCATTGGTTGTATTGATTTGCAGGGTCTCCAGTTTGGAAGTCACACACTTAAGCCTTTTGCATAAAGATATTTAGCAATCTGGAAGGGGAGTACCCTAAATTTATAAAAGACTACTTTTACAAATAATAATATTATTATTATTAAAGCTTTATTAATGCATCCATACAACAATTGAGTAGTTTACATTTCTTAATATGAGTATTAGTTGTGTTAGTATAAATTCTAAAAATAAATAAGTTATATTTCTTTTTTCTTTTTTAGTGGTCTAGCATGTGTATGGCCCCTTTTAGGGTAAAAACGTTCCCCATATTTTTCCATTTCTCTTGAGCAACATTAATCCAGTTTTTCACCTCTATCTGTCCATCTTTTCTTCTCTCAGTCCATTTTGTTATTTCGAGTGTCCAAATAATATAATGCACTGGTATTACTATTAGGGCTTTCCCCGCATGACCTATTCCAACGCTGATATTATTTTTTATAGTATGAGTTGTATGTAGGTGTATTTATTCCATTAATTGGCTTTCAAAGTTGCATCATGAGGAATTATAATTCGAACTAAAATATTAAAAATATTCGTCGGATTAAAAAAAAAATCTTGAACATTTTTTGAAAACTCTTGATGTTATATATACTAACGACTAATATTGCATTTGAACAGTGGAAAAAGGTTTGTGGCTACATTCACCAATCTAAAAATTATTATTTCCAACTCATCTCATACCCAAAATCGGGTGTTAATAGAGGAAAAATTGTTGACGATACTATTATACCATCAATCATTCTCGATTTCTCTTTCAACACACGTTCTACCCCTTGTAATGTAATATATCCTTACAGATTGAAATTTAAATTAACTGTTCAATGTTACTACGTAATGAAAAATATGCTTTGGGACTTGGTAGAATTTCTGTTTGGCACGTTAATCGCTACAAATATTTTATTGTATTACATAAGTTTGTGATAGAATAAATAATAATCTAAAGGTGATTTTATTCTTTGCCTCTAATTGAATATCTGTTTTATTAGCTTTTTTCTTCTTAGATTGGTAGTTAGTTTTAAGTAGACATATGTCGTCGATTTTGAGTTGGGTGTAAGACCGGTTTCCCGACCTTTCACATCATCGCGTAGTAAGCATGATTGCATGGAAATATATATAATAACTAGTGGACCCCACAGACGTTGTCCTGCATGATATGTAAAGCGATTAGGATATTAAGCAAAGTATGAAAGTACCGACTGCAGTGCCATCTGCCGGGCTGATTTGTGAATCTAAACCATTCCCAGATCCCCTTGAACACACACAAAAAATTTCATCAAAATCGGTCCAGTCGTTTGAGAGGAGTTCAGTCACATACACACGCACCGAAGAAATATATATATTAAGACTAGCAGACCGGCCAAACGTTGCTGTGGCTAAGGTTTTTGTTATATTACATAGTAGCAAACTATTCAAGGGAAACGGTAGGAGAACACCAGTCATGGGGACCAACATACTTTTTTGGTGGTTATGCCATTAAATTGTAGCTTATGTGAAACGTTGGTACTTTCAACACAGCGCCATCTGTTAGAATTGTGACTATCAAATAATAAACAAATATAAATAAATGCAATAAAATAATTTTGCGGGTATAAATTGAGATGTAAGCTACCTATCTTTTAAGTTGGATCAAACTACACATGGTGTGCAAATTTGATTGATATCGGTTCGGTAGTTTAGGAGTCCATAGCGGACAAACAACGTGACACGTAATTTATATATATAATAATAATAGCGCTTAATTCAGATACTTTTAAATTTTCATACTTTTTCATACTTTAAACACATTTATATTTAAATTTTCTTTTAGGTATCTGTGTGCCCTTTTTTGGCAAAGGCCTCCTTCAAAGCGTGCCATTCCTCACTGCACTGTGCCACTCTCTGCCATATACCACCTGCTCTTTCTTAAATTTGGTCTATCCACCTTTAAAGTTGTCTTCCTTTTTTTCATCTGCTGTACCTTGGGCACCAGTTTAATACTTTTTTGCTACACTTTTCTGTTCCCCTTGCCATGTACCACTTTAGTTGATTTATTTTTATTGTAACATTTGTTACCTCAGTTGTTTTTCGTTAAACTGCATTCTTTATTTTGTTTATTATTTTATTTCCTATCATACATCGTTCCATTGATCCTTGACATACCTGTAGTCCAGCCCTTCAAATAAAATATATTGTTGCAAAGCCGGGCATCGAACTTGCGACATCAAACTTCGGGTTGTATTTTTTACAATGACTTAAATCAGTGGCGCTACAACCTCTTTAGATCTGGGGCTCAGGTTTCTGGTCGAGGATCTAACCTACGACACGGATGAGAGTCGCACACTGAAGCCACTAGACCAACACTGCTCATTTTTTTACAATGACTTACTATTTTATAAACGATGGATAAACAGTGTATAAATTAAATATACCCGCTTCAAGATAATTAATTTTGGCAATCGACCAAAGTGTGTCCACCACTTAGGGCAAGAATAGACAATGCACTATAGTCTATTAATTTTGGAGGCGTTCCCGGCTATAACCGGATATCCTGTGGAACCTGAGCCTGTGACGTTTGAAATGGATTAAGGAGCGATGGGCCTATTCCACATTTATTTAAGATATTTATATAAATTGCAAATTGAAATAGCGGTTTCGTCTTCAGACCTCATTTAAAATGAATAAAATCAACATAGATCTAAGGGAAAAAGGCTTTCACTGCCCTATACTACCATAAATCAGTCGTTTACTTCACCGTTCATTAAAAAAATTTTTTTATAAATAATTGAATACACTTTAACTTGTACACAAATAACAATATGTATTAGTTTTTTACTTAATTGTCTTTGGCCTTTACGGGTGTTTGTTTATAATGTCATGCTTTTGTAAAAATACTTGTACGAAATCTTGTTTGCTATATTATAAATGATTTCTTTTTGCTTCTGACTTTGTTTTTTTCCTCCTACAAACTGCAACACTTCTACTGCATACTGAAACATCCCTTCAAGTATTACAACAGTTAGAATTAACTAATCTTTATGCGGTGTTTAAATCGTGAGGAAGAAAAAAGTTCGCTCTTGTAGTTTTTTACCAAGAACTTCTACGCTACTATACCTTCTTGCCCCTCTAATCGTATCTTACTGAATTATTTTTAAATAATTTCAACAGAATAAAGTTAAAATAATATTACATGTAACAGTGAAACTATTGCAGCCAAAAGATATAGTGTGATAGTAGCAGTGGACTCGTTTCAAACACCTGTCACACCTACAAAAGCTTATGTTAGACGGTGATATAAACAAATATCACTCACTGTAGTTTAACTATGTGTTGTACTTATTTTTTATTTATTTTATTCCATATCATTATGTGAGTGACATTATACATATTTTGTTCCAGGTGAATGGCGTGGAGAACGAAGAATGTTGGATATAACGAGGGACAAACCGGTTAAAGTCTGCGTTCGAGTGGTTGTACCCGTCAGGGATCATCCAAAGGTAAAGAACCTAATTAGAATTTACTATATATATATTTTTTTGTTTACCATGCTCTTAATGAGGTTTCTATTTAGTTATTTTGTGGTTGCTTGTTTAATTTCTTGTATAATTTTATGCATACACGTTGTTTTAGAACTTATAATTTTCATTTATGCAATGTTTCATCTCTTTCAAAGTTGTTATATATCAATCAAATTAGTATTCAAGCGAAAAAGATAGCTTTAGTATCTAACGCATAAAATGTATTATTTTATTAGAGATACATTCTTACATTCTTTATAAAATAGAATTGATGTATAATAGTAGTAGTATAATTGACTAAAAAAGGAGAAAAAGAGGACAAGAAACACTTTTGTGATACAAATTTATTATTTTTTACTAAATACTAAAAAACTAATCAGGCAGTTACCTAGTTCCATTCAACGACCTAAAGAAGCGTAAACTATGGAAAATATTCAGGAATTGTGAAATAAATCACAGTACAAAATAAAAGAAAAATAAAATCTCCATTTGTTGCAAACAAAGGACGACTTAGCACAGATTCTAGTGAAAATTTGTTGCACCTGTACCAATACAGCTGAGGTAGCTCTGCCAAGCAAAACAAAACCATTTCGCAGGGTATTACTGGGATTTATCCCAAACGAAATAAGAGACTACACACATCTATTTCACTTTGACGTTGGCTGTTTGCGATAAAACTGATTGGGAAATAAAGTGATTTTGAGCTTCAATATTTTTAAGTAATACGCAAACGGGCAGGACGCTCACCTGATGTTAAATGATACCGCCCATGGACACTCACACTGCCAGAAGCTCGCAAGTTCGTTGCCGGCCAAAAATTTCATGTTTAGTTTACTTGCTACTAAACTCCTAAACAGTCCCTTTTGATTTATTGATTTTAGCTTAAGTTTGCATATTATAAGCGCAAATAAATTTTTCAGCTGTACTGTAAAGAACAATGTTATGAAAAATAATTTTATTAAATAGCATGGTAAAATGTCTACAAAACGTAAAATGTTACGTGTTATGTGTACACACAGTTTTTTTTTATTTAAAGTACATATTTGGTACGTTTTCGTTTTATCATAATTATTTTTACCCATAATCTGTAAAAATGTATAAATGGATTTTACTTAAATTTCCTTTTTATTTAAGTTTCAAATTGTTTGCATATTTTAACATCTACTTTCTATTTTCTAAAGCCTTTTCAAGACTAAACTTTGTAGAGTCCCTAATAGATTGATTTGGAAGTGACGAGTAGTGTCGTCTGCAAATGTTATTTTATTCTTGCCCCGTTGACATGTGACGGAGATGCTTTCGATCCTATTTACCTCTTAGTTTTCTTTTTGGTCGCATTCCAATTTGCTCATAGATCAAATATTTTAGTATATTTGAGATATATATAATATTTTTACACAGTCATCTTCACGGTTGTTTATATACTAACTAAGTTGTATCAAATCTTTGAAGATATTTTTTATATATTCCTTTCATTGCCACTTAAAAATACTGTTACTCTATTCATCTAAATTTCCCATTTCATTTGTATTGTTCAAGAAAGTGCTTGAGAAATATTACTTTAAGAACTATCTTAAGAGTCCAAAATTATTTCAATTTAGTTAGATATTTAATTTGAACCCATCCCAAGAAATGCCCCTGATAAATAAGCCAGAATGGTATAACTAAATTATTATTAAGAAAACTTATTTTACCTCCTGCGAAGCCATTCGTTCGTGACTGAACAAAATCTATTAACTTAAACATGACAATAAGTTAATAACATCTCTGTTCAAATATTTATTACGTCATACATCGTTGTAACAGATCGACGAATTGAAATATTTTAATCGAATACAAAGTTAGTTTTATAGTTGAAATAAATTAAAAAATGTCATCTAACAAAGTTGATCTAAGACTCAGTTTTAATATGTTCATGGGATGAATGAATATAGAGGGTTAGTAATAACGGAGTCTTAATTTTATTCATTTGCAACGAACCTCTATTTGAAACAGTAATAAAGTGTCAAGTATTTCGTACCCTTATAAACCGCCAATTATCAGAACCACAGGGGAGCTCGGGAAATAAACTGCTCCAACGGGATACGAATTCCCTGGATTCGATCGCAAGGCCGGAATGACGTTCATCCTGTCACTTGAAATGTTTATAGCCTTGTCTACTAAGAAATATTGACCGGTCCAAGACCAAGAATTATGGTTTAGGGTTAATAGTTTATTGCGTAAAACAATGTATATTTACTCTCATTGTATGCAATGTATCATAACCTATATTTAAACATGTTAGTGCATCTTTTTTTACTAAAATTTTCTAAACGCTACTAATTATTAGTAGACTAGAGTTAGCCTCGACTCTCAAGCGGTCGTGCACTAATGAAGTTTTCTTTCCGAGTGCGCAATCCATCAAACACAAGCTTCTACGGGAATGGTGTGAGGAAACCGGTATTTTGTGGTTCTAATATGGACGTAATAATATGACGGAGTGAGATAGGGAAATGGATTAAAGACGAAAGTAATGACAAAACAATTGACGGGAAAAGTGGGTAGGTAAGACAAAGTGGATTGGGAAGGAGTTGGAATCACCCGTTTAATTTCGACATTAGATTCTACCTTTTAAAGGGTTCTGCTGGTTTGACCGCTCAATTGAACTGAAACCGTACCTGTATTCATAGCAACTCGAATTTATGATAAACAAGTTTCGTGACAATTCGTGAACAAGTTCCGCTACCGAACACGAATCGACTACAGAGTCAAACGTGTCAAAAGTATCAAAGATTACTTTAATATTTATTGTCTTTAAGTATCAAAGGTTTGAAGTTATGATAAATTACTTTTAATAATAATTACTATAAGAATTAGGTGGCGAAGTACAGCTTTGAGTTTTAGAAATTAATTTACTTAGCTGTAATGTTTCGCATTCTAAGCTGTAACTATAGAAGTTACTTTAACTCACTTAAGTAAATAGCGCATTTTGTCCCCAGTTTAACTTCGTGGGAAAGTTGCTCGGTCCAAAAGGCAACTCTCTTAAACGTTTACAAGAAGACACTATGTGCAAAATGGCTGTACTGGGACGAGGGTCAATGAAAGATAGACAGAAGGTAAGTTATTTTATATTAATAAGATAACTGTGAAAAATATCAAAGGAAAATATTTTAGATTTATTTGGTAAGATATTTTAAATGACAGAAGTGGACAGAAATTTTTATTAATTATAAATATACTGGTAATGCCTAATCAAAATTAATATTTTTAATTTTTTTTTTCATAATTTTTTTTTCCATATTTTTTCTATCTTGCAATACCAACTTGAGTTAGCCACGCCACCGCAAACTCTCTACAAAAATCGATTAATTAGTTTCGAGTCAACCAGTGTAACTTTGAAAACTATCACTGCAAAATGCTGTATTTTTTAAATATTATTCGCACGTAGTCGATTACGTTCTGTGCCTACAAACTCGTTATAAATATCGTCTAAGTTATTAAATACGAGTGAATGTTTATTAGGAAAGTGATTTTTAACAGGAAGAAGAGCTACGTATGTCAGGAGATCCCAAATTCTCGCATCTATCAGAGGAGTTGCATGTGGAGATCAGTGCATTCGCGACACCAGCAGAAGCCCACGCCCGTATCGCGTACGCACTTGCTGAACTAAGAAGATTTTTAGTACCGGTGAGTTGACGTTAATAAGTGTACATTGTGTTACTTATATGAATAAATGATTTTTGACCTTGACTAAACTTATGATATTAGTTTTACCGACTCACCACCTGTAAGGCATAAAGCGCCAGTTGGAAGTTACTATGTACTGGAAGTCTTACTTTACTGGGCAACCCAAGTGTGCTCCAAGAACCCGGTTTCTTGGTACCTGGGATATGTGCGACGGCGAAGGCCAAGGTTGTTGCACACCAGTCTGTTGCACAGATCCCCGTTAAAAGACCCTGACCCTACTGAATGCTGTCTCCGACACTATCGACATATTTATATGTTCGCATAGTGAATACTACTCTACTATGAAGTAGCGATATTGTGTATATTATATGTTTAATATTATATACTTTACTATAATTTTTTTTCGACATTAACGTATTGGCATAGTCTGTAAGGATAATGTGTGTTTCTGTAATAAATAAATATTATAAGTATTAGTGAGTTCTAGTTTAAAAAGTAATAATTTTGTTTTATTTTCAGGATTACAACGACGATATAAGACAGGAACAAATGCTAGAAATGCAAATATTGTCATCACAGAATGAACAGCGTAGACTGACACCGCCTGAATCTTCTAGAAGCAATAGCGAAGAGACACTACCCATACGAGATACAGCAAAACAACGGGTTGGTACAGTATTATTTTATGTTATCGGAGTAATGTGGATTACACTACAACTTACTACTATCTTACTATACTTATACGGCTCATTGGTCTAGTGGTTAGTATCCCGGACTGCGGTTCCATGGGTCCCGGGTTCGATCCCCGGCTGAGACAAACATCGATGTGATAAGCATTTGGTGTTGTGCTTAGGTCTTGGGTGTTTAAATATGTATTTATATGTCTATCTATTTATAATATGTATGTATATCCGTTGCCTAGTACCCATAACACAAGCTCCACCAGCTTAGCATGGGACTAGATCAATTGGTGTGAATTGTCCAATCTAAAAAAAAAAAATAAAAAAATTGTGAATAAACTTCCTCAAGTCCCTTGGTAGTATATCCGTAATCTTATTTGTCCCAATATTCTACAAACAGTCGTCTCTCCTCTAGCTACACAAGTATCCTTGGGAGACGGTACCACTTAATGTCACCTATCCATTAAAAACTATTCTTCACAGTTACCAACAGTAGCACCAGTAACGCAGCCAGCATTGGCTAGTGCCCCTGTTTTGCCTGTCAGCCACGCCCCCAGCGCACGCGATTTTTCACCGCCAGCTCCCACACCTGCGCCAGAACATTTGCCTCACCACCAGGTAAGATCAAACAGTATCGTGCCATATATTTCCCAAACATCGAAAGTCATGTTCAAAGCGTCTTTCACTCCGTTTTACATTTATAAAATTTCCTTAATTCAAAATAACTTCACTTGTCTATAAAATAAAAATAATCATAGCGAGGGACGTAGTACTGTATTATTATTTACGATGCTTAGAATACAATAAAAAAAACATGTGTTTACTTATGTACACGCGTTAGAAGTTATACTTCTTTGGCGTAATAATTTTCTTCGAGCACTTTAGAGGGATGATTCCCTCTTCAAATTGCATTTTTCTTGTTTAATAGTCGCTTCCAATCAAAACGATATAATATGTACTAATCATGATATTTTACAATAAACACTATGTTTTTTATCACATTGGAACAGTTTTCTCGTAAAAAAATCATTATATTGGTTTTAATAAACACGACCCTGACAAAACACAAGGCCATGACAGACATGCAACTTGTCGATAAAACAGAGCAAGCGCCAACTAGCGGCCCAGACTGTTTTACCGACGTTTGAACAGATATTCAGGGTGTCGGTTTTTTGTGACGGTGTGCGCTCGCAACGTAAAAATTTACTCTCATCATTTTTCTCTAACACGCCAAAAGAAGTATAACTTCAAAAACGAAAATAGATGATGACTTTTTGTTCTGTGGCAAAACTTCAATAATTTTGTGGCCAGAAGGCTCACTAAATTCAATTAGAACCGGATACTCGTTATTCAAATTAAGTTTAATCAATCCGTATAATAATTAATTAGCGTAGTGATTAATATGTATATTATTAGAGTTTAATTGAGCAGCTTAAGGCCCATTAACCAAATTAAGCTAACATACCGCTTTATACTTTAGTTTATCTCTAATTTATTATAATACTACTTCGATGCGACACGACTAGATACATTTTTAATACCTCACCAAAGAGGATGTGAAGACTTTGACTTTGTTTAGCAGTAACAATCTATTTTTTTCTGAAATATGCAGTATTAATTATCATTTGTTAAATGTTTATTTTAAGTTTTCTTTAATTGTTTTAATATTTTTGTTAATTAATGAAGTTACTTATGTTTTCTGTTTCATACATAGTGTTTATCTATGTCATCTGTTTTGGCTTTGTATATTATCTAAGTGTGGTTTTATATATATATATATTATTTAAGCTGTAAGATTACTAATAAATCAATACTAAAAATATCTGCCCTAACAATGAGTTAAAGATAAATTTCATATACGTCCATTTTAAAGCGCTTTATAAGAAAACACAAAATTCATTTATATATTGTACACGAATTTAGGCAAACAGTACTGAATATTGTATATAATAATATTACCGTTGTAGCCGGGGCATATCTCTCTCGTTAGACGCGTAACACGAATGAGTATGATTTTAATATATTTTTTTATATTTCTCTCTAAAATGTAATATATAGAAAAAAGTCCCTGGACACAAAGGCAGAGGGGAGTAGAGAGTATTATAAAAATAAACCTTTTCTTTTTCTCATCTCAGAAACAAGATTAATTCTCGATCGCTGTTCAAATGCGATTGTAATTCTCATCGCGTCTTAACAATACAACATACTCCCATTTAAGTAACCAATAGAGCGCACAGCTACGATTTCCGCTACAACACGTTGCTACGAATTCGTAACAAGTGAATATCGTTCTGCTACGGCGTAGACAACAATAGACGATCGTATCAAATCTAAAACTACAATTAGTAATGTAACTTTAAATGACTTATAAGATGTAATTTACTATTCTCAGTTAAAAAATAGATATTTGTCCGTCTATTCAAGGCTTTCTGAAATATATTTTTAGTTGGTTTTAATGTAACAAATTGTAAAATAAGTTATCCTGAGACTATGTTACAAACATTTTTCATTCTTAAACTTTATTAAAAGGCTGATACAACATCGGCGACTAAGATCGATAGGTTCTATTCATCTTGGTTCTAGACTAATTTAATAAAAGCAAGTTTATTTACACAGTCTTTAAGACTATATAACGCTGATAGTCACTTTTTCAGAAAAAATAGTACGAACTGATTGTATTAAAATAATTATTTCTATATGTACTAAGCTAATAATACGAGGCTTTAAAGTTTAAACAATTAACTTTTATTTACAGTTATTCAAAACGTCAAGTGTACTTTGTAATAGTTTATGTATTAACGCAAGAAATGGAAATTTCGCTAACTCGAGAGGCAGTGTATATGTGCTTAATAGAAGTGGTCACAGAAAACTACGTATAAAATATTCTTTTCAATTATTTTATTCGTACCTAGCTTAGCCAATGTTGTGAATACCTCATTGAAATTTCCTTTTAGTACATTGAGTGAACATTGAAAAAGCTTGCTCTACTTTGGTTTCACTATAACAATGTTATTTTACTGAAACTTTTTAGGTGATACGAGCTCTGTGATGCGTTAAATTAGGTTAGTTTAACTTCTGATGTTTATTTTTTATTGTAGACTTTGACTACACAACCGTTTCCTTATCTTCGGAAACTATTTATGTGTTTAAAAAAACGACGCAAATATACTTTTCGTTTAAAATAGTACTGGACTTTATCTATTAAAATTAAAGTTATACTTAAAGTATTTTTGATGAAAGTATTTAAAATTTATATGCGGTGCAACGCTGACTTTGACACTCACTACAATAATATTTATTCTAATTCTACAATTGTTACAATTACACAAGTTGGAATAGACCAACTCATTAACTCTACTGTTCTTTGAACATTAGAGTTCTATTCACCTCAGAACTTACTATAATAGGTTTTTCATTATCCCAAAATAAATAAATAAAAAGAATATTATTATATAAAAAATAATTACGTATATAAGATTTATATATTCAAGGTGCTAATAATACATAGGCGGCAAATTCCATTTATTCTTTAATCACTACTATACGTTATTGAGTATTTTTCACCTGTCACGTTTTACCTCTTACCTTAATTTGGACTAACCTTTACAAAATGTTCCAATCAAAGGTTACAATGGAAATCGATTCGAAGCATTTGTGAAAGTAGGCCTCCAACTGGGCGTCTGGAACCTTTCGATTACAGTTGCCAAGCCATTATGAACCGAAACTTATAAATCACTATTTTTACGGAATAAATTACCTAATTGTCGGATAAGTGCCGACAAGAACAATTGGTCTAATGGTTTTTGGTATGGTAATAGTAAACGTTTCATTGTAGTTTGTATATCTCAGGACATTCCTACTCGAATAAAAAAACGGAGTTACGATTTAATTTCTAATAATAATGTAAGTGTAAGAGCAAGAAGTTTGCGGGCTTTCGATGACACCGTGCCTGAGATGAACACCAAGTCTGTTGGTATTTTGCCTGCTACCATCATACACCGGTCGTGTTGAGCCATCAAAATATGGGAGTAATCGAATTGAGCGAGCATATTTTTATCTCAATATAGATTAACCCTTCTATCATGATAAACGTTGACTTATTCCCCAATACTACAATCCTGTCTGGACTCCATTTATACATAAAATGATACCAGAATTGACTTTGATTCTACAAAAACCTATATCTCGGCATAACTCGGAGGTTGTAAAAACCAACCCATACCAACCACGATTATTCTCTCGGCTACACTCTCATTCAAATGTATTATGTCACAATTGTCTTAACAATTTTGCCACACGCTGGTTTTAAATTAAATTTATTATTATCGCTTTAGTTTAAAAAACGATGAGTTTGGTCATATCTCGTTTCCCAAGTTTATCAAACTCGTAAAGTCATCATAAACAGATGTCTAAAACCCGGTTTTCCGGTAAATCTAGGTCTGACGCCAACTTAACGTTTATTGGTACTTACTTCCAAAACGTGACCACGTTCTTAAGGAAATCCTTTAAGGGTTTACGATCAAAGGTCAACCGTCCGAATATTTATGGGAAGAATCAATAAAGACTTTTTCAGATATTATGAAGAAACATGATGTACAAACTTAGGCGTTGAACATGAACATGTTTTTGTATTGTTTTTTATATTTACACAGCTATATAAAATCATTGTTGAGCAGTGTTGGCCTAGGATTCAGCGTGCGACTCTCATCCCTGAGGTCGTAGTTTCGATCCCCAACGGTGCACCTATGAACTTTCTCTCTATGTCCACATTAACATTCGCACGAACGGTGTTGGAAAACATTTTGAGGCAACCGGCTTGCCTGAGACCCAAAAAGTCGAAGGCGTGTGTCAGGCACAGGAGGCTGATCACCTACTTGCTTTTTAGATTGACAAATGATCATGAAACATATAAACAAAACTGAGGCCCAGACCTAAAGAGGTTGTAGCGCCACTGATTTATTTTAATTTTTATATCAAATCGTTGGTCGTCTTTTGATATGTATGTTATAACTAATAGCTAATTTTGTTTTACAGATGACAAGTCCAGCAAGTCATGGCTTGCTGGTTGGAGGTGGTATTTTGCAACAACCGCCTGCACACCATTTACTCACACAAAACTCTATTCTTGGTAAGACTTAGAATCACTCTTAAAAGCCATTCGTAACGTTTTTTTCCTTATGCACCTTCACAGCGTCGGCGAGTACTTAGACCATAAGTGTTGACAAGTTATAAATAACTGAACAGTGCTTATTATGACATTATGATAATTAATATTGCATGCCTATTTTTATATGGCTGAGTGTGCAGTTTTTATAATTAATCAATCTGAATGTACCACTTCCTTTGCAAATAACCGATTTATTGTTGTTTTTAAAACTGCTTAAGCATAAAAATCTTTAAAGTTTGGGATGCAATGCAATATTATCTACATCATTTTATATTTTGTATTAATAATCCTTTAATAGCATTGAACATAACACAAAAGAGTGATATCTAATCTTAGCAAGCCTCTTCTATTCTTGTCTGATTCAGTTGCCATTTCTCCCAACTCCAATCTGTCTTTTTTATTCAATTGTACTCTATAGTTCACTTAAATAATCTAAGATTAAACGCAAAATACAATTCTTATAAGTGAGAATAGTACAAAGATCTTTATATTCTTGAAGTATCATCGTGGATGTCTTTATGAAAACTTATGCTGATTATATCTTTCGTGTGAATACAGACGTGCAAAACGTATAATTATGCTAATACAAAATTTCATTTAATAAATACAGCTTTTCACATGCAAAGAGAACAACTTGCGCTTAAATTAAGTTATTCGAACAGTTACTGGATCATATATTAAATGGAAAACGCTTTAACGAAAATTGATTCTTTCATTAAATAAAACTTCAAGTTAAACTTTTAGAATCATCTATTGAAAACACTGTTGTTATTTTTTATGTTATTAAATTAATTTATAAGAATTAATTATTACCTAAATATTCAGCAAATCGTTCGCTTAATGAGCCCCGCATTCTGGCTTAACTAACAAACTAACAATGGTCAGGTGCAGGAGACATCCTGGGTTTAAGCAGCCCCGTTTTGGGTGGGGTGCTCCATACCCACCCCGCATTGCGAGGTGTCAAGCCAACAGCTGTGCACGCGCTGGCGACGCAAGGTCGGTACGTCAATCTTTTTCAATTAACTTGTCTCTATTTTATTCAAAAAACTGGTATCATTAAATCTTCACGGCCGTACTCAAAGTTGTTTATTAAAATTTAATCTCTTAAGCCATTAAAGTTGCAAAGCAACTAAAGTTTTAATAATACATTAAATTTCATGCAAATGTGCTTAATTCCACAGATAATGTAATGAATGACTCTGAGTATGTTTTTTTTTTAAATTCAAAAGGATGTAAGTATATGTACGTATAGATTGCATGGCTTTACTCACTGCTAAGTCATCCCTCGGATAGGTTTATCTCAATCAATTTAGTTTATCCATTATAACTTACAATCCATATCGCACACCGATGCCTTTTTAAATGTTTAAGCCTCATTTGAGTTGCCTTTTAACATAATTAATTAAAACTTGGTCACTGTATAAAAGCGTGTGCAGTAACTTAATTACGAAAACTAATCTCAATGGTTTTATTTTACTAATTGTAACACTTACTCGTAATACATAAAGAATTAAAATATTTCATAATGTTTCGGTACTGACAGCGACAAAAACAACAGCAAACACAAACTTAATAATATAAAGGCTAAATAATGGATTTATCAGAATTAAATAAGAAAAGAATGGATAAGGATATTCTTTCTTAAATCACAGTAAGAAGAAATACCTTGTTCTCAGTACAGTAAGTATTGATTCGATTCTAATCTTACGGAACGATACCTCTCAAATCCGCTTACGTTGTGGCATTCTCAAGTTATTTTTAGTCATATATTGCTAAAAGTATTCTGGTAAATAACTTATCAATATACATAATTCGATAGGAAACAAATACAAAGAACAAAAACATATAAATGTAGACATATTATATTGTCATATCATAGTTTGGGTTTAAGAATTTATTGTTAGATTAACAGACAGATTTCCTAGCATACTATTATATTTTAACTTCTTTTCATTTTATTACTATCAGAAGCTTAACCAGGCTCCAGAAGATAAACCACCCCTTATTTGGAAATTGTATTCGTTTTTACAACAAACTCCCAAGGGAAATTAGAGAATTATCACTAAATAAATTCAAAGAATCGTTAAACGTAAATTAATCAATAAAGCTTTTTATAAATTGACGAATACTTAAATGATCCTAATCCTTGAGATTGATTTGCTCCAGTTCAAACAATTTGAATGACTCAAAACTTAGCGATTAAAAAGAGTGGCGGAAAGTTCCTTGCCAGTTTTTCTTGCCCGCTCTACGCCCTTGACTTGCAAACTGGTAGTAAATGTAAATTTACAATTAATTTAACTTCTTTTTGACGTTCATATGTGTACTTAAGTGTGTGTTTAAGTTTAAGACTGCACAAGAATTCGTACTATTAATTCATCTCTACGGGCAAAAAAAAGTACTTTTCACTAATTGACATCATATAATGTGCCTAATCCTTATATGAAGCAAAAAACAGAAATGGAGAAAATATTTATTAGAATGGTATCCAAGAGAAAGTAAAAGGAAGTCTGCTGGACGTAGGCCTACTATGTCAGAAGACAACTTAACAATTGAACTGGTTGCTAAAAAGTGTAATTATTTGGTTTTTTCCACCAATTATTTGCAGTTTCGTTTGTATATCACGCTCAGATAGTAAAGGGTTTATTTATTATTTTTACAAATTTTACTTTAATTAACTTACTTAGATTCTGTCTAGAAGAACACTTAAGAAGTCTTTGTCTGCATACACAATGTAGCTTAAAGCTTGTACCGGAGCTTAAACTTAATAACTTGGCAATATTAATAACGAACTAATTACTTACAATGTAGCTATTAAACATTGCAATATTATGAATCCTCTCTGTTTCAATTAGAATATCTGTACTAGAGACTTCAACTGGAGAATATATTTTTAATATCCATTTTATTAATATCAAAAGTGCAACGAGAAATGTACCTGTGTTTTTCAAAACGATATAACATTATTTAAATATGTATACCTAAATAAATAAGTGATAAAATAAATAATAATACGACAATTATTCAGTCGTCATGGTACATGTTCAAAACAGTTTCTTGAGAATGAGTAGTTAGTGTTAAAACACGAGTCATAAGTCATTAAGTATGTGTTAACGTGTAGCTAAATGTTGTAATAAACGTGCGATGTCTGTGTTATTTTGGCACCTCAGTTGGTGTTCATACTGAAGTTACGTTCTACCTATTACAACCTCAGTCCATACAAAATCATAATCATAATCAGCAACTGGGATAAATCCTGGAGCCAGCTAGAATCAAAAAGTATTCATTTATTTAAAAAAATATGAATTCTATAAATTAATCTGTGATTCATTATCAGTATCTGTAAAAATCTTATTTTTATGTAATAGGAGGCAAACGGGCAGGAGGCTCACCTGATGTTATGTGATACCGCCGCCCATGGACACGCCAGAAGGCTCGCAAGTGCATTGCCGGCCTTTCAAGAATTGGTACGCTCTTTTCATGAAGGACCCAAGTCGAATTGGTTCGGAAATACTACTAATCTCCACTAAAAAAGGCATCTAAATAATATAGGGTTTTTAAAATGCAGGTGTTGGTTCGGGTGGAGCGAGCACCCGCAAGCGGCCGCTGCTGGGAGGCGCGCGGAACGCCATCTCGCCGACTAAGCGAGCCGTCATGTCGTTATTGGCGCGCGCTAGGGCTGCCACGCACAAACACGAGTGAGGCATTTTTTATATTAAGTATTACTTTATCAGAGCTACACTAGCTGCCCCCGCGAACTTCGTTTCTCCTTAATGTGATTTTACTTAGCCTGTCTTTTTAGTACATACGAACATGGAACATTTTGCTATGCTACCCCAGAGACTGTTCGGGTTTCTTGAATTAAAACTTTTTAGGTTGTTCTGTGATTTTTTCTCTATATAAACCTCAAAGTTCGAGTAATTAACAAATCAAAAATATTAGTTGATCGTAGAGGGGTGAAAATTAAGGGTTGTATGTTTTGTATGCTGTATCACAAAAAAAAATCTAATAAATAAAATTAAAAAATTTGGGGTGGACCCTTAACATTTAGGGGTTTAAAAGATATAAAGTAGCCGATTCTCAGACTTACTGAACATATATCTTCTATTATATGACATATATTATATGACACATATCTTCAACAAAAATCTATTAAATGTTAATGCATTATAAGGTGAAAAAACATGAAATGAGGTGTTTAATAATTTATCGTTACATTACCAACTAACACTTGCTATATTTTCTTAAGTAAATGTAATAAAACGACAAATAATTTTTTCTCTTAACTTTTTAACTAAGGTCTTAAGCGTATTATTTATGCAATCCAGTATTTTACAATGGATTTACTCCAGGGCATCGTTTCCAACAATAAACTAGGAAGACTTACAATTTAATTTTATAAAGTGCTCGGCTTCGCTGGTCACTCGTAAATTGAATATTTAAAATACTGTACCAAAACTTCAATCTATTATATTGATTTTGTAGTTTAGCTTTTCAGAATAACTTAAAATGTCTATCCACTATTAAAATTTACTCAGCCTTCTCACTACTATTGCTGCTTCTTAAGATATTTGTGGCTTCGATACGTTTTAGTCTCCCAAATTAAGTTGTTCATTGACAATATTAGGCATATTAAATGAGAGATTATTTGCAGCAGTATTAGCCTAGTGGCTTCAGCATGCGACCCTCATCCCTGAGGTTGTAGGTTCGATCCCCGGCTGTGCACCAATGGACTTTCTTTCTATGTGCGCATTTAACAAACGGTGAAGGCAAATGTCGTGAAGAAAACCGGCTTGCCTTAGACCCAAAATGGCGACAGCGTGTGTCACAGGAGGCTGATTACTTACTTGCCTATTAGATTGACAAATGATCATGAAACAGATACAGAAATCTGAGGCCCAGACCTAAAAAGGTTGTAGTGGCACTGATTTTTTTTTTGAGATTATAATTAGTGTATCAAATCAATTGCAATTTAGACTTAATGATGTAGTGATAAAATAATATACGAATTGACTATGATAATGTCAACTACTATGTAAAATTCTACATTTAAAGACAAATTTGCACGCCATTATGTGTAGCAGAATATGCGAAGTTTAGATTGTACCACCATAATCTTTTTGCAAATAAATTATTATTAAAATCATGCTTTATTGGACACATATAGCCATAATCAGTACTTTAAGCACATACGGACTACAATAATACTATCTCCATAGCATTGTACTTGTGTATGACAAGTAGTATGTTATTGATACATTACACGTTTTATAACGACACATATTTCTCCTCAAATATTAATCAATGTAATTTCTTCGCAGACACCCAGCTCTACTACCTCTGATACGAGAAGATTTCATGACTGGAGTTGGAGTCAACATCAACCTAGCGTAATATCTAGCCAGTATTATCATTATTGTAATAGTATGCGCTATTAATTTCTTTCGTGACGAACTCCCGTAACGGCATAAGTCGTAATTTATGCATATGTCGCAGCCAACTAGCTTAATAAGCCGTTCAATTAACAGCCTAGCCTTTTAACTAAACAGCGCCGTTTAAGTAGCGGCCTGAAAAATATTCAGCCAGTTGATCAAACAGCTAGGCAAATGACATGGATCGATGACGTTTCATTGCTTGCATAGCCTGTTGACTGGTCATTAAAATTTAGTTCCAATTTCTGCCACTCTCAAACTAGAAACAAATCTCTTCATACTGTCAATATGGCGTCGGCAAACCACAACTTTGATGGTGTTTTCCAAAGTTTAATGAAAAACAACAAGTACAATGGAAAAGTGTAGTGACAATAATAATGTGAAGTTAGCTGTGACTGACTCAAGCAATTTAATTTTTAAATAAATATTTTTTTTAAGTCAGATGTTTCATCTTTTTATTTCTGCAACACGGTCACTCTATCTTACGAATGGCCTAAGCATTAGCCAGTTTATTAAATGTTGTTACAAACGCTACGGCTGAATATCTTTCAGGCCACTAGTTAAACGCCGCTGTTTAGTTAAGAGGCTAGGCTGTTAATTGAACGGCTTATTAAGCTAGTTGGCTGCGACTTTTGCACAATACCAGTCAGTAAATAGTTCAGCCCAGCGTACGATTCACGACTCTAAAGTTCACTAATAATTGTTATTTACGCAAATTGCACATGAAGGAAACCATAAATTCAAAAATTAAACATTTTTGTCAAGCACAGATGGCTGACTGAAAAAAACTGATCGGTGAAGAAATGTACTTACCTTATGGTTAACGTTCATACAACTTTCTCCAGCAAAGCTTCAGTCTATTAAAACCTCTAAGCTCACCCACGTTTTAACAGGCATTAAAATTACTTAAAAGTAATACTTGCTATATACGTATAGATGTCTCTTTCATATTTTTACGTTAAATTCTGAATTATAGTCAAAAAACAACATTTTATTTAACAGAAGTCTTTAAGCTGCTGTTTGTTTGGTGTTTACTTTACAATTTTAATACTATAGTAGTACCTACTGATTTGTTGTCGTACTCAGACTCGTCCATTAAATTTCTAATGGTAGATCAATTATATAACAGTACATAAAGTACGAATTTAATCTTAACTCAATGTCTCCACGATTAACTCTTAATAGACGACTCTGAGTACGGATGTTAGTCTGTAAGTGGCTTTTACCCATTTTAAGGCCTAATTAGTGAAAAAGGACCACATGTATATAAAACCCCTCGCCTTCTAGTCTGTACATATTTAGAAATGTTTTATCGTGTAAAATCAATGTAAGTGTCAAAAATAAATTTATGCGTAGTAAAATATCTTACATTGAAGTACTAACTTAATTTTATCTTGGTAATATACTACATAAAGTAATAACTTTACCAGAAGTGTTTAAAAAATTAATTATTACAAGCAAAAGTCGGTGTCTTGAGTTCTTCTACTGAAAAGGCTCTCGCGATCTTTTCATAATCTGACCAAGTTGCGTGCCGAGACTAGAAAATACTACTAAAACTTTTGATTATGTTTATACGTATAAATTAAAACCCTATTTCATTCATGTCCCTAACTCAGTGGTATTGAGACAAATTATTTATGGATTTTGTATGTCATTGACAATTAAAATGACGGTAGCAAGCAATAATGAAATCTCCCCTGAAACATACTTTGTGGAAGACACTTTTGATCTGTATCGTTAAAAAAATTTACCAATAATATTATCACTGCTTTTATTAATTTCAATATTCCGGGGTTTTACGTAACGAATATTTTTACTACACAAATTTCTAGACAAAATATTCTTTAAGTATTTCAATGTAAGTATAAATAACTTAAAATAATATTTTAAATTAACATTACTAGATAATTTTAATAATCACTTAATATTGGTATTTTAAGCACAATGTTAAAATTGAATTCACAATAAAGCACCTTCAGAAAATAGATTATATTTAGATAGATTCGAATTCATTGTCATGCATAGAAAATATAACATTTGTATAGAATTTAACGTCTTAAACATAGTTTTATTACCAAATAGTATTATGATAACATTTAAATATTTTATTCGTTCGAGATAAATTCCAGATCATAAATTTACAAAAAACACAAACATTGTAAGAGTTCAGTATAAACAAATGAAAGCGTGCAAGTCTTTAATCGACAACTGTGTCAACTTCAATGGCTGACTTTCTTAAAATAAGAAAAATATTTTTCATTGGAGCAGATGTAAATTTATTTAACAATAATTCAAATAATTAAGTTCTCATTTAGAATTTCTAAATAGAAAATTGTGGAATGCCTTGGACGAAGCTTTTACCCGTGAGGGGGTCCATATAATTACAATATTTTTATTTCTTACATTTAATGTCTTGTGTCGTATATATTATGTTTGTATTTTTATGGAATGAATTATATGATATATAATAAAGCTATAATATTATTATTAAGATCTGCATACAATGAATTCCTATACAATTATTTTTATAAAATTCAAATATCGAAGTACCCTTAACAGCATTAATTTTATGCACATATATTTAATTCTATGATATTTTAATTATAATTATATTAAATACATTTATATCTGCTTCGAAAAAATATACAGAATATATATAATTATCGTTTGTACTTGAATACATACAATATTGTTTGAATTTTGGATCCTGTGTTCAGTTTATGTATAAGCCGTTGGAGAATGCTTCTAAGCAAACATATACATTTTATAGATATTCGTGTTTAAAATTTGATGTTAACAACGAATTATTATTATACTGAACAAAATTCCCATGGTGGTCTACCGAAGCAACAAATATCTTCGAGAAACCTAAACGATGCTGTGGTGTAGTCTGTGGATAGCCGCATCCACAGATAAGCCGCAGGCCGAACTGTAACTCGGACACAATTTAAATAAAACTCCACGGAAATGTGAATTTATTATGTTATTTTGCAGCCATCGTAATCTTTATTAATTTTATAAAATATTTCCGTTTATTAAAAAAATTAAATATAAACTGAGCTCACCACTAGTCTCATTTTTCTAAATTTCTTACGATTTGTATACCTATGTATTTCATGTGAAAGTTGTAATAAGCACATGATATAACCGATTTTGCCTATATGATTCAATCAATATTTGCAGTTAGGTACACTATTAAAGAGCAAAACACTTTAAAGGTTGATAAATATATTTTAAAACCTTTTTCTGATCATAAAGCGCGTTTTATTAGTTTCAGAAACATAAGTCAGAACAAATACCTTTTGTATTACTTATATATGATTTTATATAAAATGCAGCATTGTTAAAGATAAAATGGAATCGTTATGTTTTAAATATTAGCCTCTGTTGAGATTTTCCTACTTATGAGATGTATTTAGTATGTATATACGCTGTATATTAATAAAGTTTTCAAGAATATGACTCATTATTTCTTTCGCACCTGCACCTACGTGGATTTTGTCTACTTTGAGTTGATTTTCTTCAAGAATAATTCTTTACGTTACGTTACAAGTAAATTTACATATAACCCCTATAAACAAACACCTAAACCGGAACGTTATTTTCTGCGCCTTAATACAGACAAGCGGTCAGAGGACTTAATTTTATATTATGTAATTATATTATAGCTATATTTCTAACCGTGTTTTAGTAAAACAAATTAATTACTATTTCACTAACTTTATTTCAAGAAATTTGTCACATTGACACAGAATTTTGAAATTAATAAGATTGCTTTCTCAGTAAACGTTTCGTCCGTCGCTTTTTCGTGCTGCTTGTAGACTTTTGTGGCTGCAGATTCTAGGATAAATAATAAATCTTAAGATGTCTACTACATACACAAAAGTGATCACTTTATGAAAAGACGTTATATTTATTAAGTGTTACCATCGGTAATTGACATTTGCTGTACCAGGCCGTAAAAATTTATCCCAAACTCCAGGAAATTTCGCAAGCAAAGAAAAAACCTCATAGCTGGAAAGCCATGTGCTACTACGATGAAACTTTGTAGTTAAGACTGTTAAAAGTTTAGGACTCACACTTATATTTTTTCTAACGACTATTGCGACGCCGCCACCGCGTCCAGGCTTTGACCCGGCAGGTCGAGGAACTCGCCCCACGAGACATCGATCGCGGCAAGAAAAGACTCGACTTGATGCACTCTCTTCGTCATCTGATGCCGTAGCTGTCAAATGATACCGCTATTTTTAGTTATAATCATAAGAATTAATTTGAATCCATACTTTAAAACACATTATAAACCTCCAAGTATAATAAAGTCCCGGGATCGATTCTATACGAATAAATAATTGTTTAGAGTAAAGAAGAAATAAAAATCAGACAACGTTACTCGTAAAGACACAATACATAAATTGAAGTAAATCAAACTTACATTCATGTTCTGTGTGCTTCAAAATACCGCGTAGTTTATGTGCGATTCCTTGGTTACTTTTACTTTTATACTCTGTCTCATCCGGTTCCGACTTGCTGTGTAGTTTGCATTTCTTTTTGCGTAAACTTCCGCCGCTGTATTTGAGTATTCTGTACCAAAATATAAATATGAATACAAAACTTCGTAACGGCAAATATATATGGCGATACACCATGTGCCAGAGTTAACTTTTATCTCTTCATAAGGTAACCTACCTATTGATATACGACGAGCTGTCTTCAATTTTATTAAGGAATCTCCTATTTGAGCATTTATCTTCTGCCTCTTATATATATTAATTACTTATATAATATATTAAGTATGACTAATTAACCCTAATATTAGGTTTTACATTTTTATGAATACTATTTATTACTATTATATTACGATTATTAAATTTTATTTTAGTTTAGTTTTAGTTGGTATATTTCTAGTGTTCATGTAATTTTTTTGTGCATGTTTTTTTTTTATGCACTTGCACTATACCCTCAGTAGGTGTTTTTCTTTCTTTTTCCATACTAGGGTTGCCTGAAGAAATCGCTTGTTAGCGATAACGCCGCCCATTGCCTAATTACTTCTGTAATTATACTGTTTTTTATATGTATTTAAACATACAAAGTGTAAAAGCAATGGAAATATCGTAAAAGAAAACGGTCTTCATCGTCATCGTCGTCATGTTGAAACTACTACCTTCGAAGCAAATACAAAAGGTTTGAGTTGGTTTGGTAAGCACCAAGGCACAGACTATAAAAAACACCCTTTGCTACTCCTCTTTTTAAATACACTCTTCTCAACAGTCAGCATCGGAATACTTAGCATTGATATATCGAACCACTTTCAGTTTCGCGGTCATTCGGAGTGAAAGGTGAAATTAGACGGTACTTCACTCAACTGTATAAAGCGCAAATTCGGCCCCACATGAAGTACTAATCTGACCTCTGGCGAGTAGCTCGCTAGTGTTTTGTTACCCCAATCAGGGTTATGAGTCTTCGTATAAACAGTATCAATATTACAAAATGATTAATAAAGCAGTTCAAATTAGATACTAACGATGATCTTTTCTTCTTCTTGACATTATCAGCTGAACTGGAAGTGTCTTCAGTTTCATCAGATTCTGTGTAATATGGCAGTTTTCCCATTTTTTGAAACCGGAGCAATTTGAAGCTTTATTTTTAAAATTGTAATAGCATTGCTAGGTGAATGATTTCGTAATTCGTTTATTATTTAGTCCATGATTTTTATTGTTGGTAGTGACAGTAGTGTGAGGTTATGTCAAATGTATATTTTTTTGAAGACTTTATGGCTTGGATGTCAAATATAGATTTTTATTTAACGATCGTAGATAAAAAGGATTATAACCTCCTTTACTTATGATTTACGGCAATATAATATTAAATCTACGGAAGATGAATTTTCTTATTATGCAAATTAAATTTTATTGTATAATTAGTTATCCCTTACTAAACAATATTACAATATTAATTTTAAAAAATGCGTAATTTTTACGCATTCATTTTTCACTCATTTATTTATTGAATTTCACCCGTAGGAGCAGATCTATATAAAATATTATTTCAAGATTTAGGTCAAGCAAAATATCATATACCCCATACACAACATAGGGTCTCTATGTGGTTGGATTTAATGTGAAATTAAGTTTAACATTTAGACATCTATAAACCGGAAATGTACTTAACAAGGTAATTCAAAGCCATTTTACAAACGGGCACCAGGTGGTAAGTTAGACAAGTTAGAGTTTAGACCGTAGCCAGTGAGACCAGACAAGCCCTGGTAGGGTTATCACTCGTAATAAATTAATCGATATTGATTTTACAAACGCGAAATTCACCTAATTTTAAATGTCTAATTTGGACTCAAGATAAAGGTTCCTGAATCAAGGCGATGCTTTAACTGATTTACTTTATTTTACTAGGTACATAAAAAAATCGGTGGCGCTACAACCTCTTTAGGTCTGGGTCTCAGATTTTTGAATCTGTTTCAAGTTCAAATCTTATAGGCAAGTAGGTGATCAGCCTCCAGTGCTTGACACACGCTGTCGACTTTTTTTTAGGTCTAAGACATGTCGGTTTCCTCACGATGTTTTCCTTCACCGTTCGAACGAATGTTAAAAGCGCACATAGAAAGAAAGTCCTTTGGTGTACAGCCGGGGATCGAACCTACGACCTCAGGGATGAGACTCGCACGCTGAAGCCACTAGGTCAACACTGCTCAACGCTACTACGTAAATAATAAAAAAATAAATGCTACAGAAAGTACCGGCTCCAAAATATTATATATTATTATTATAAATTTATACAGGTTCTAAATTGAAAAATAAATAAATTTTATTTAACAGGGGGCAATCGGGCAGGAGGCTCACCAGATGTTAAGTGATACCACCTGCCATGGACATTGGCCAGAGGGCTCGCACGTGCGTTGCCGGCCTTTTAAGAATTGGTACGCTCTTTTCTTGAAGACCCTTAGTCGAATTGGTTCGTAAATACTTCGGCGTGCGCCTGGTTCCACATAGTGGTGGTGCGTGGCAAAACTATCTGTTGAGGAAAGACGGACGTCGAGGTGATACGGAAGGATTTATTACTATTATTATTTATTTGGGTATTTAGTGCATGTATACAAAATCTTAACCAATCACAAAGTGTCTTCGTAGAAATCTACTGTCTACTACTTAAATTGTAATAAACTACTACAAATTAAGTAATTACAAAATCTTATTCTGTTCTCTCAGTAATTTTGCCGGAAAATAGTCGAAAGTATTTTATATTTGTCATTTATTTTATGACACCCCTACGGACTACGTGACAAAGACTTAGTAATTGAATTAAAACCATTTCAGCAATGTTTAGGAAAGTCGTGTTTACACAACTTGCCTTCGTATTTGGCATAGAAATTCTTCACTCAAAACTTAGCTTAAAACCTACGTGCACTCTTTATTTGTTTCTAGTGTTCACGATCCTTCAGGATTCTAAATTTAAAAATAATCATTTGTAAATACACAAAACATTAAAGTATGACACTGGTAAGTACCTCGTTATATTTGTTTAAGCATTCAGCAATAATGGTTTTCTAACGACATATTGTTTTTACTTCTACCTAGTGTTGCCCAAAATCGGTCTTGGTCTTGCAGTCTTGGTCTTGTTCTTGCATTTCGCAAGACCAAGACCAATACCAAGACCGCCTTATTGTAGCAATACCAAGACCAAGACTGAAGCCTGCAAGACTTGAGCAAGACAATACTAAAGCCTGCAAGACTCTTGCGTCTTGCAGTTAAGAAAAACTGAGATTTGGGCGTTATTAAGTAGGTATTTGGTTTCAATCCCGATTTTGAGAGACGTTCCCCAGTATTAAAACCGTTAGTATCGTCATAACACTAAACTGCCGCCGTCTGAAAGAACACTGAAAGGTATTGTATTGATTAGGTAGGGAAGTACTTATTATATTTCAACAATTTATTAAGTAGGTAGCGTGTTAATACTCACAAATCTGTTACCATCATCCCAGCCAATATGCCAATATTCTACGGCAGCCAATATTATGGTACAGACGCCAGCACATCAAGCTACTACAATCTGTCAAATTTCTTCAACAGATTTTCAACTTTATCGCTAAAGAATTAAGGTTCAAGGTTGATTGGGAAAATGTGACGTTCTGCGAATAAACTGTTGGTCGGTCGGTGTATTATATACCTACTTATTTGATAATTTACCGACAAAGAGGCCGCGGTTTGCAACGAGTGTATCACAGCATTTGACACTGTTTGAGCGCCGCATTCGCCGACAAAGAGTCTGGACAGAGGCACACAAAATTGTTACCTATTTTGGTAGGGTTACAGAAGGATAAAATTAAATGACCTTGAAGATGTCTCAGCAGTAGGTAGGTATAAATTGAATGCTCTGAGTTTCTTGTATTTAAATACATTCTCACACTGCACTGGCTCGAATTCGAACACTTCAGCGTTTAAAGCTGTCGGGCGAGATGATAATTAATAACTAAGTAGGTATTGCATCTATTGAATTGCGAATATTTTGATTTCGAAATAATCATTGTTAATATCGGTAAATGATAGATAGTGAGTGATATACCTAGGTACTAAAATGTAAGCAGCATAATTTAAAAGTGTTTATGCCATGTCAGTGCTTTCCATAAGTTTATTTTAAAAAAAAAGCTCTCAAGTAAGATTTAGAGTTTACCATTCAATTACACACAAGAAATTATTGAAAAATATATTTAGACGGAGTACTTAGGAAATTAGTAGAAAAAATATTCTATCGTGGATACCTAGTTATTAAAAAGTTGATAAACGTTGTGTTTACTTAATTTTATTTTATTCTTAAGCTAATGCCAACATTGACAACCCTACCAAAATAGGTAAAAATTTAGTCCGCTCCTAGACTTTGTGTCTCCGCCGTCGCTTTCATGTTAAAGGACGCCGCCACTGCCCATGTCCCAAAGAATAAAATAAGTTTCCGGGTGCTCAGAACGGACACAAATAGATTATGTTGTCCTCGCAAGGAAGATTGTAGTCGTAAAGATAGGTAGATATTATAAAAATTGTTGTAAGTAATAAAAATATAGTTTATATTATTATTACCTATTATACCTTTTTTTTAAAGAACATTGCACTGCAAAATTGGAAGTGGGTGATTTTAACAAACTTGAAACGTGGAAAAGCTCCAAATATGAGTGACGTCATATTGCTTTACGCATTTTGTTTTAAAATCACACACTTCCAAAAATCGAGATTTGCAGTGTCGATTTATCAACTTCTATCGTACCTACTCTAGTAGCGACTATTGTCTTCAGCGATGATTTACTAAATAAATAAAAATAATCGTCGTTATTTTTCTAAGGAATACAGTTTTGTTGAAGTAGGTACCTACATCGTTTCTCACTTACACATACTTTAACGACTGTACCTACGTAGCAAAGCGCGCCAGTCACGAGTTACGACAAATTGCCTAAAAAATGTACCTACGCACACTGTAATGAAATCTGCTAATCTCAAACACACGCACTTCCTTATTTTGGCCGCATAGGTAGCATAGGATAGCCCGCGAAACTCAATTTTTTTTGCAATTTGCAGGAGTGCTAGATTGTTGATTAAAATATTATTCGCGCTGTAAGACGATGTAGTTACAGAGTCAACTACATATCTACGTCTTACAGCGAATCATAATCTAAAATCTAAACTAACGTGTTCGTGTTAGCAAATAGCAATAGGCTAATAGGTATTTGCAAGTCTTGCGAGACTTGCGAGACTCTTGCTGCAAGATAAGACAAGACCAAGACTGAGAAGCAATACCAAGACCAGATCAGACCAGGTGTATTAGCAGACCATACCAAATGGCCTAAGTTGTCTTGGTTTGCATTTGGGAAACTACTTCTACCCACAAACATTTACATTTTTCTCGTGTACTTTTTTTTAATGCGTCGTCACTGAGACATCAAGAAACATTACGATCTAGCCTAACTTAAGACTAATAAGTAATTTACGTCTAACCTAATTTACTAATAAGGACATTTAACCTAAGTGTCTAATAACACTACTTACGATACTCTTTTTCTGTGTTATATTTTTTCATTTACCACTGTTTAGTAATTAAGACTAACGAGTACTAAACTACTGTACTGTGAGGTGAATCAAATTCTTACTGAAAAATAATGACTTTCTGAAATCTTTAAAAGAAAAATGTTACAAAATTCCTTTACGAATAAATCATTTCCTAGGTTTAAAAATTCTTCTCAAACCAAACAATATTCCATACACGAAATAACTCTCTCAATTTATTCGCATTCGCTGCGAGTTATATAAAAATAGTTCTCAAGGCATTCTCATTTTGCTGGAATCTTTAATAGAGTTGCGCGCGTAATAACCACTGCACACGTGGATTATGTACCCAAGTGCCGTTATACCGGCAAGGAATTCCAATGGAATTTTATAATTTAATACAACTTTCATCTTTTAACCTTACATTGCAACGGATTTTTCAACACGCCCAATTAATACTAGCTCATCGGTAAATAACATAGAATCGTCACAACTAAAACCCACAAATGGATGGCATGTGTCAAGCACAGAATGCTGATATGACCATGCCTAAAAGATAAAAGAAAATTGATCAAGAAAACTGATAGATACCTGATGAGATGGTATGCAATCTCTTTAGCGTAGAAGCTGCAGCCTTGGTTAATTGGTTTCGTAAAGTCTTATTAAGTACATTCTGCAATTCCCTTTTCAGTCATACAAAAGTGTCGCCATAACCTTTTGGTCTGATCCTAAGATTTCTTTGTTTCGAGATCATTTATATTTCTTATAGGTAAATCGTTTTTGTCCGTTTAATATAGTATTAACCAATACACCAAAACAAATTTCGAACTCAATTGAAATTATTCGAAACTATAGGCTTGGGAATTTATTATATTATATTATGTTTTGAATAAAACACTCTTTTAATTTGATATTTTATTTCTTGTACTACATAGTATAACTCTAATATCACACAATACGCAACATACTTGATACACATATATTTATACATAATTTCATTTAAAACACAATCAGTTTCGCAATTAATATAACTAAGACTACGAAGATAATAAATTCACACTTAAGTTTGAATTTTTTAATTGAATTTCTTTTATTGTTTGTTCATTTGTAATGTATAAACTTTTAAGCTACTGAAGCAGTTTTGAAAACTCTTTCACATATATAAAGTTATCAGCAAGTAAAAGGCTTTAAAGCAAATCTAACTAAAGTTTTTTTTTTATGTTATCCATCGATTCATCTATCAAGGAAGGCCATAGGCTATAAACAACATCGTTCACTGATAAACGCGGGTGAAGCCACAGAGCACGGCTAGTTTATAACAACGTCAACGCTTTCTCGCATCTTACACATTTATCAGTATTATCTATAACATGAAACTTCCTACACCGCAAACACTGACCATTATTAGACATAGACAATGCGAATTCACTTTTCCCGCCATTTTTATTCTCTTCCAATTGAATACTAGCTAACTCTAATATTTCACACAAAACGCTATCATTTATGCCATCATTTTTATTTAATTCATTTAGTTTTTGATATAAGTTAGTATCAACTTTTAAATTTAAATCAAACTTTTTCAAATTCTCGTTTTTTATTCGAACACAGATTTCCCTTTTCAAATTCAAAATGTCATCCATCAATGACACTTCGATGCTATTAGGCGGCAAAAGTGACAAATCTTGGGTGAAATGAAATGGCGTTTGACATAAAGGGTGGTGTTGCCATGCCTCTTCAACTAAGTGCGGGAGGATCGGACCTAATGTTTTACACAGTGTTGCCATAATAGTATGTATCACTAATTGCGCTGAAACTCTTTCTTTGGAACCTTTTGGTGAACAATATAATCTATCTTTTACACAATGGCAATACAGCGCTGAGACTTTATTGCTAATAAAATATAATATCGATTGAGCAACATGATTATATCTAAAATTATTATAATGTTCGTTTGTTTGGTACAAAAATTCATGGCACTCATTGACCATGAATTGATCAAAGAAGTTTAAATTTATCTTAATATTTATGTTGTCTATATCATCTATTACGCCAAGGAGGTACTTCATAATGTTTCGTATTCTAATAACCTCTGCTTGACAGTCGTCAAGAAGCTTCTTGCTTACAACGATTTGGGAATGTTGAGTTCCGTGACTGGCAACCCACCAACTGTAAAAAAAATAGTCCAATCAAAATATTACTTATTTTAATTTATTTTTATTTGTATTAATAATACTTTACTTTGCCATTGTGTCCGGGGACTTTTTCACTCTATCAAATTTAATAAAAAAATATACTTATACTTATATATCATTAATAAAAGTGAGTGTTACACCAAACACGGCCAAATTTATCACAATTTAATAAACACATACATACCGCAAAGTATCAATTCCATACGCTGGATGCTTTTTGTCCCCTTGTATGATTGTTACTGGATCAATCACGTTTCCTATGGACTTTGACATTTTACGCTTCTTCTCGTCCACTACGAATCCGTGAACGAAAATCGACCTTAAATTTGATGTTTTATTTGAGGATAGAAGCATTTTATTTTTCATTTTTCAACGAGTTGAAGAATCTTTCGCAGCAAATTGCCTATTGGCTTCAGTGTGCGACTCTGATCACTGAGGTGGAAGGTTCGATCCCCGGCTGTGGTCCACCTTTCTTTCTTTGTGCGCGTTTATCATTCGCTCGAACGGTGAAGGAAACATCGCGAGGACATGTTGCCTTAGACCCAAAAAGTCAACGGCGTGTGTCAGGCACAGGAGGCTGATCACGTACTTGCCTATTAGATTGACAAATCAAGAAACAGATACAGAAATCTGAGGCTGTAGTGCCACTGATTTATTTTTTATATATGATATGTAAATTGCTTTATTTTTTTTTAAATATCACACAGTTCTTAATACTCACTCATACGGAGCATCATTATTCAGAGCAATAGAAGTCAGCAGCGACGCCTGGAACCAGCCAGTCAGCTGATCCACCCCTTCCGAGTAGACCTTGGACTTCCGACCTTCCAACGTTTGCCAGGATAGACCAGAATCCAGCCAGATGTCCATAATATCCTGGAATTATAACAGTTACATAAATGCCTTCTGAATTCCGAGCCAAATATTATCAATACAACTTGTTACAAAAAAAAATCATTCAATGTTAATTGAACCTTAAAGACAAAATGATCACTAACAAAATCAAAAAAAAAAAAGATTTCTGCCCCACCTTAGCCTTACTAAAATTCTTATGACCCCAAAATCAACATACAGAGGGCAGAAGGCACACCTAATGTTAGGTGATACCGCCCATGGAAACTCAATGCCAGAGGGTTCGCGAGTTCGTTGCCTGTATATAATTATTATATAAAATTAATAAAGTTATTGTAAATTACCTTTCCCTTGACAGTTTCTTGTCCACCAGATTGACTCAACACATCTTTTGGAATGAGGTCTTCCACACCGCAAGTCCACCACACATCAGCCCCATGTTCCCGTATCAACTGACATAATTTTTCAATCATAGCCCTAAAAAATCATTACTAATATTTTTGTTGTTTCTCTTCAAATATTTTAGATTTCTGTTGTTACATATATATACATATTTTTGAAGTTATACTTCTTTTGTTGCGTTGAGGAAAAATGATGAGAGTAAATGACGTTAGTTATAGGAAACTTTTTAGTTTTTTCTATTGTTAGTGTCGTTTTTTCTACAAACGCAGAATAAGGCGAAAGATAAAAAATTTGAAAAGATTTTTATCTGGTTACGCCAAAGAAGTATAACTTCTAACGCGTGTACACACACGTCTTTTTTTTATATAAGTTAACTCGGCCGATCGTCACATTTGATCCCGTTGCTTTTTTGTTTCGCTTGGCTTATTATATTTTTGTCAGTTTATTTAATAGTTACGCCCCCAATTTTATCATTTCTTACTGAGTGTTTGTACGTATTTTGAACCTGACAATTCTGTGCCTTTCTTCATGTCAAGAATACAGTAGTCCCTATAACGCGGTAAAACCGGACCGCGTTATAAGCTATGCCCTTACAAAAATGCATTAAAAGTAGATTTTAAACACTGCTTGAAATGATATATATATTATAAGTTACGAAGTAAAAGGTTTGCTTTAAGAAAGATGTGTAAAATTGTTATTTATACTCACTCATCCACAATAACCTGATCTCCCTTATACAAGACCGGGATAGGAACGCCCCAAGCCCGTTGGCGGGAGATACACCAATACGGCCGCTTTTCTAACTGCGCTTTGAAGCTCTGCCTGCACTGGTCAGCGGAAGACGGGGGTAAGAACTCCACTTTATCTAGAGCTGTCTGCGAGGAAATTATTAAAGATCTTTATTATAAAAACGAATTGCACTTTATTAAGTTTAATGTTTAATTTCAGTTGTCTTTTTGAAGTTATACGTCTTTTGGCGCGTTAGAGAAAAATGATGAGAGTAAATTTTTACGTTGCGAGCGCACATCGTCACAAGAAACCGACACCCTGAAGTTAGCTTTAGTCAACATTTTAGTTTTTTGATGCTGTATTTGTACGATATTTAGACAATGTTTCTACAAGAATATTTGTATCATACTTTAGCTATCATAAGCCTCTTGTAACTCACATGTCTACTGAACTCCAACCAATAGACGGGAATTAAATAGTAAATATCAATATGTATAAGTTGCATGTTAAAATAAAAAATGTCCATTTCTTTAATTATGTAGATTTTTTTGTGATATTGAAATAAACTTTATTTAACTAGATAACGCGATATAATAAAGCTTTCAATGTATTAAATACCTTTTTTCTAGTGTTAGTGTCGTTTTTTTTCTTCATAAAATTGTTTTAAAGATTTTTATGTTGTAACGCCAAAGTTTAACTTTTAACGCGTGTACGTACACACACGTTTTTTTTTTATTTTTCTATGAATTTAATTATTTGACTAATGTTTTCTGTTTCGTATACTTTGTATATTATCTAAGTGTATTTTTATAATAATATGTGTAGCTATAAGATTACTTAAAAATAAATTATTTAACGTAATAACTCACCAACGCCCTTTCTTTCAGAGCAGCTGTATCGATGAACCATTGGTAACTCGCTCTGATAATAACCGGCTTTTTGGTTCTCCAATCCAAAGGATACGAATGGATATACACGCCCTGGTGAAGGATGGATTTTGATAATTTTTCCATAACCACTCTTTGGCCTTCCTTCAGAACTGGTAACCCATCATAATCCGGGCCTAAGTTAGTGTAGCATCCGTTTTCGTCCACATTACATTCCTGGAACAGTTTCCCGAACATTAAACATGTTTCATAGCTTTTCTTTGAATGTATTTGATAAAATATGTTATCTATAAATTTTTTAATGCTTTTTCGTCTCTTTCTATCAAATTGTGTGTACGCTGTGACAAAAAGAGACAGGATCCGTTACCTAAAAAGCCATGACTATTGATTACGTTTGAATAAGGGATAAGTTTCCATGTTTATCTTTTTGCTAAAGTTATTTTGGCGGCTTCGAATGTATAAAAATATAACATTAAAAAAGTCAAAATTTTTTATAAATTTAAGGATATATATTTTAAAATATGGACCCAAACAACTTATGACATAAGCGAGTTGAAAATGCAATAGAAAAAAATACTTACAACGTTAAGCTTATTCTTCAACGCAACCAGAAAATCTTCCGGGCCATGCGCGGGCGCAGTGTGAACCAAACCAGTGCCTTTTCCCTTGGTCACATGTTCCGCTTCAAAAAATGGCCGAACCTCGTTTGAAAGTGGACTTTTATATGTACAAGTACTAAGATTTTGGCCTAGAACAAACAACACAATATCAAGAGGCCCTGACAACTCTGGACCATTTCTTTATAAGCAAGTTAATCAAATCCTCCAAGATTTACATAGTTGTTATTGTTACGCAAAATAATCATGAACTTAATAACTTTAAAAGTCCGGCAACGCACTCGCGAGCTCTCTGGCATTGGGTGACCATGGGCGGCGATATCACTTAACATGAGATGAGCCTCCTTTTTGTTTGATTTATAAATAAAAATTGCCTTATATAATATTATATTTTCTTTAATTTACGAGATTACTAGCATTGTATAAAATTTCTTATTAATAAAAGATATATTTAAATCGAGTTATTTTAATTATTATAATTATTTATTCAATTTAAGGAATTAATAATTGTCCAAAAGAATGGAAACAGAAACAACAACTTTGTTTTCAAGCAATTTTCATTTCACTTAATTTTTCATATTAAAACCACTCCAATTAATAAAATGTCTCACTTGTAATTTGTTCAATTCCAACAAACAAACTATAAAATTCTTTAATAATAATAATACATTTTTATTTTCAAAGTGGTACATTCAGATTGAATATTTATAAAAAACACTGCACACTCCACCATATAAAAATAGCCATACAAATGTCATATTAATAAACATGATGTCGTAATAATAGCAGTTAATTATAATTACATATATTCAATTGTATTTGCACTTATCAAAGTTCTATCCGAAATTTACCATTAAGTCTCTTAATATAATAATAATAATTTAATTCTCCCATATAACATTTACGACAGACAAGATTACAGTTAAGTCTTATACTAACTTACCATCAAATTCAGAAATAACATCAATCTCAGATCCCAAGACATTCTTTAACTCCTCAATTTGGTCTTTGGCTACTAAAAATAGGCCTGGTTTAGTACTTAGTGTGACCGCACAGTACGACATATTAGCACTGTAGGCTATTGCTTTATTTGCCACTAGAGTCCACGGAGTAGTTGTCCATATTAATGCAGATATTGGTTTACTGGAAGAAGATTTATCAGTATCAAATGTGGTTATTGTTTGAGGTAATCCCCAGAGGCAAAGGGCAGACACATATCTACATCTGATTTAATTCAAGTAGGTTTCTATGCCTACACATTCAAAATACTAAAAGTTTTACCAGAAATCAAAGCTCACTGCTCCAGATTATATGATGGTTTATAAGAAAGCTATAGAAAAAACATGCACTTGATTTAATCGTTAATTGAATAGTAACTATTGATGATGGCAAAATTATTAATAAGATTCCCCTTATTTAGGTTACCTCTCAAAGTAATCATGATAATCTGTGCCTATTATGTTATCAATGACATACTTACCTACCAATAGCATCTTTAACTGCATCTGGCACGTTTGTCATCTCAAATGCTACATAAACCTCTTGGCTTTTGAAGTTTGGGTCATATTCTAACTCGGCTTCTGCTAGAGCTGTTCTAAAACAATTTTAAGAACAGATCAAAGAAAAATTAGGCGTTGCACATATTTTGTATGTTTCTGTTACTGATAATTGACTTTTATAATAATGAACTTTATATATGTACTATTAACCATAATAGTAAGATTGTTACCGAGACGATGGTGACCAATATACTGGTTTAAGTGCCCGATAAATTAGTCCTTCTTTATACATCTTATAGAATTGCCATAATTGATTTTGTACATAGCTTTTGTCTAATGTTAGATAACACTGGTTTTCCCAGTCAGCCATAATACCCCAACTCTCAAAGGCCTAGAATGAAAAAAAAATTTGTTAGATTCTTCTAACAGATTTGTAAACAACAATATGCATTATTTTTAGCAAATTTATTAGTAACAATGTAAAATTTATTGTATTAGCAAACTTATTATATGTAATTATATTATATGTAATACAGATCATTATGATAGATTGTTTTATATATATATATATTTATTTTTAACAATAAAGTTTAAGAATAAGCCTAGCAAACAACCTAGAAGCAACTTCTTATAACAATTTCATACACTAACTAGTTTTAACTAGTAAGAACATCAATTATGAGGTAAACATACATACTGAACCTAACAACATACCTCCTTTTGTTTCTGAACTGTATCTAATGCAAATGTCCTAGCAATTTGTCTTGTTTGTATTGGGTCAGGGGGCTCACTATTCTTTGAATACTTTTTAGCCTTCTGTAGAGCTTTGAATTCAATTGGTAAGCCATGGCAATCCCAGCCTGGTACATAATGGACTTTATTACCTTGCAGAACTTGACTTCTATTATTTATATCCTTAATTATCTGAAAAAGCATTAATATGTTAAGCTTTTGAAGGATTACTTTGTTTTCTAAACTAAATTTTTAAATCATTTCCGCAATCATTGGCGTAATTTACACAATTACAATTAACTTTTGCTTATTTTTTCCACTAAAAAGGTAGACATTGTTCCTGAATCTCTCTAAAATAGTTTACTATATTTAGAAAAAAAAAACTTATATTATATTTAGCTTTCCTTGTAGATTACCTTATTTACAGCATGCCCCATATGTAAATCACCATTTGCATAGGGAGGTCCATCGTGTAAAACGAATTCAGGTCCTTTTAAGCACGATCTCTGCCAATTATACAATTCGGCAAACTTTGCATCCTGTAAGTTTCTTGTGTAATGTATAAAGTATGAAAGCATATCCACAATAAATACCTTCAATACTAACTATAAATAAAAAAAATAACCTTTTGAATGTATTTTTTGTCCAGGGGACTAGATCGTGCGGGAAACTTTGTTTTTGGAAATAAAATTGTGTGAGAATATGTTTTTGTTTTGGGTTCTACCGAGCTTTTATTTCTCCTGCACTCTGCATAGGTCCATCTCGACGATAAAGTTACGTACTTAATACAACAATTATTCGCATGTTTTGAAATAAACATTGTTACTACAATTTTTTAATACATTAAATTTCAGTTTATAATTGTATTTTATTATTTGGATTTTGGATATTGTTATGTCGCCGCCGAAATTAGGTTATACTCAAAGAGTAATATAAGTATAGGGATTAGAAGGGATTAGAGGATATATATTATTAATAACATACTTGTCACTTGATACTTTACCTATTCTATGGGTTAGACTGAAAAACGTCAGCTGTCACAGTTCACTATACTAAATACTTAGTTGTTTTTCTTGTCAATTATCATTGATCGATAATTGACTGTCAAATCCTTAGGTTTAGTGACATTTTCGTCATCGTTCTTTGATTCTCTCAAACTTTCCAAAACAACCTAGGAAAACAACACGTTTTAGAATTCAATATAATTGTTCTTATTATAGATCAATAATTCTTTGCTAAACTAAAATAAAAAAATTGTCTAGCCATGGTAAGTAAAATATTTATGACATCCTCACTATTTAAATACATTTGCTTGTATTTATAAAGTATGTTTTTTTTTCAGCCAAAAACTAAAAAGAAATTCATAGACCGTAAAAAAGCAGTCACCTTTAATCTGGTACATAGATCGCAGAGGGATCCACTAGCTGCAGATGAGACAGCACCACAACGGGTCTTGGTTCCAGTAAATGCTAATATACCACCTCGAAAAGAGAAAGAACCAGTAAGTCGATCCTAACATGTAGCTTATTTGTATATATCCTTATTCTTTATTATAGTTATTTTTAAAAAATACCTTATAACTTATTTAGTTGCTACATTTTGTAACACTTGCAGGAGCTAAGTAAGGATCAACAAAAAGAAGAACAGAGAAAATATGGAATATACTTTGATGATGATTACAATTATCTACAACATCTCAAAGATACAAAACAGGTCACACTGCTTTTACAGCCTGTAAGTAACCAATAATTTAATAGAAATTAACACTTATGGTGTTCATGTGTACATAATTTTTACTCGTTATGTTGTCCTGTTAGTACCTTTCAATAATATATGTCTATCATGTGTCATTTCACTTTGTTTTGCAGAAAGCCACACACAAAAGAAAACAAGCTACCACAAAAGATGTGGAAAATAAAGATGACATAGAGTTTGATGTTAAAGAAAAATTACAGTTTCCCAGCTCTGTGTTTGCATCAGAAGTTGAAGAAGATGTTGGTTTACTTAATAAAGCTGCTACCCAAGGTAGGTGCCAATATTCCTTTGATTTATATAAAACTAGTATTCTAGTACTACAGTTTAAATACCACTTATTTCTGGCAGGCTGACTGCTTTACCAATTTCTAGAACATCTAGAAAATACACAGTATATTAAATAAAATATTTTTTCAGGTCTATGCCTTGATTTGGATCCTGAGGTTGTTGCTGCATTAGATGAGGATTTTGACTATGAAGATCCTGATAATGCATTGGAAGATAACTTTATTGAACTGGCAATGGGTGAAGGTGATATATAAATAATATAATATTATGTTATTTACTCAGTGATTCCAATTAATAAACATAGTCACAAAAAGGCAACTTGCTTCATTAGCATTTTTGTAATTGTTTAAAAGAAATACTCTTCTTTGATTGGCAACTTTAAATACTTCAATATTAAGTTGATTGTCATAAATTAGGTATATTGAGTTTTAATGAATATATTTTTATTGGACTATATAAAGATAGTCCTTCCTAGATTTTATGATTAATGTGTGACTTTAAGGTGATGAAGATAGTGAAGATGAGAGCACGAGTAGTGATGATGACTCTAATCAAGCGTATGGATCTGATGATGGTCTTGACTCTGATGATGACAGTTATTCACAGGTATTAAAACCATTTTACAGATACAGCTAGACATATGCCTGTTGGAATACACCAAACCTGATGTGTGTGGAGGAGATGTTTTAATAGTAGTTTTTTTCAGGATCAATCTAGGCCCCAACGATTAGCTGAATGGAGTAATAAGGATGAGACCAAGTCACGCTTCTCTCAATACTCAATGTCTTCAAGTGTCATTCGTAGGAACCAAGGCTTATCTCTGTTGGATAATCGATTTGAAAAGGTAGTTAAGAATTCAGTATGCATGACTATTTAGGTTTATCATTCGTGTGCCAGTATGTTATAATAAAGAAGATTAATGGAAATATATTAAAAGCTATTTACATTTGAGTCTTACAAATAATATTTCTAGATGTTTGCGGATTATGATGATACAGAAGTTGGTGCATTGGATTTGGATGAAATTGAAGGATATTTACCTGAAACACACAATATGTTGATGGAGGCTGCTGAGGAGTTTGAGAAATCACAGATGAAATATAAACTTGATAAGGAAAAGGAAATATCTAGGTGTGTGTCTGTTTCATTCATCTATCAAATCAAGTGCCATCAGTCTATACTCTGATTTTTTATTCCGTAGAATTCTGACATTTCATAAGTGTTGCTACTGAAAAAGTTCTCAACCGAATAGGAACAAATTTGACTTATTTGAGCAATTAAAAAAAGGCTACGTATTTTTTGTTTTACCTACAAAAAAATCTTAATAATAACTTACTCAAGTCACAAAAATAACAAATATTTCAATATCACCAACAATACATCGAATTAACTTTATTTTATTATTTAGCGGGCAACATTGCCTACTAATTCCAGGTTTAGTTAACCTTTTTTAGTTATTTACTGTTTGTGATGAAAAGGGACGTAATTATCACTCGCCGTCAAACCACTTTTAATGTGGAGCACCGCACATAATAAAATGTATGTATAGACTCAGATGTTCACTTGTGTTAAAATTTTAAAATGTACCTAGTCAAAAAGGTTTTTAATCTCTGACATGTCAAAAAATGATAGCTGTCGGAATTCTACGGAATTAAAAATCAGAGTATAATGTGCCTATGAACCCAAAAGTAACATTGTTTTGCTGGATGTCTAATTTAGAGACCTAAGGATGCTTTATCATGGAGGTGATACTTAATAATCCTTAAAGTATGTGCATAATTCCCCCCTCCACAAAATCTGGCAAAGTTATATGCTAAATGATATTAATTGTTGCAAAAATGGTCAACTACTACTTTTGATATTTTTTTTAGATTACAACACCTACAAGAAATCGAAGAAGAGTCTGATGATGAACTAGAGACGGTAGAAGTTGACCCGAAAGAGAAATGGGACTGCGAGACAATCCTTTCTACTTACTCCAACCTTTATAACCATCCTAAGATCATTGAGGAGCCTAAGGTATATTTAGTTTGTAAGGTTGTGTTGAGAATTAAATTCAATTGACCTTTTTAATTTGATTACATTACAATATGAGGTATGGCTAATAAACTTGACAGCTTTTTCTGTACCTAAGTATAGTAAAACGTTTCGTGACCACCTAGTGACTCTTTATACCTAGTTTATAAGTTACCATTATGTGGTGTAAAGTAGTCAAAAATAATATTAACAAGAACGCGTAATTCAATCCCCGCCCCGCATCGTAACGTTTTACAAAAGTAATACGAGTAATAGTAATTCACAATTATTATGAACATGATTTAATTTTTTGTTTCAGAAATCGAGGAAGATAAAAATAAATCCCAAAACTGGAATCCCTGAAGATATTCTAAGCAAGGATAACAAATTAACTATGAAATCGTTGGCTAAATTCAACGCTATTAATAATAAAGACAGTGGCAACTCTGATGATGATGGAAGGACAAATGCTGAAACTGTGTTGTCAACACTCAGTGTGTTATCTATAAGGTATTTAATACCCAATTTTTAAATTTATTAACCCCGCCATAGTGCATGGGACCAATACTTTCCAAGTTTTTTTTATTAATCTTTTAATTAAAGCTAACAGACGACAAACAATATGCAAGTATGTGCTCGTTAAAAATAGTTTTTTCAGGAATCGAACCTGTCGTAGTTCTATTATGGCATATATTAGTTAGCCACGAAAGCCTTATTAAGTCATTAATTAACATTTGAATTTAATTAAAATAGTTACAGTACTTACAGAAATACTATCTCGCATATTTAAAGAAAAATGTTTTAAAAAGTTGACTTCCTCTTGTTGCAATTTTTGCGAAAACAATGACATCATTTTCAGACCTAAGGATGAAGACCCGGAAGAAAAGAAAGAAAGAAAACGTCTTCTCAAAGAGTACAGGAAAGAAAGAAGAATAGAGAAAAAGGCAAATAAAGAAGCATTTAAGGAAGAGAAGAAACGACAGGAGAAGATTATGTTGAATAACAGAAATAATGTTCAAGGAAATAAAATATTGTAAATATTTAGAAATGGTTTTTATCAGGGATGTTATGGAGCTCCGTAACCGTATCCGTTTCACAAGTTTCGGATAGTTTCGTATAAGGGCGGAGTCTAAATAAAACTACATGTTCCGACAGGTTTTTGTTAATGGTTTCATTACTCAAAAAAATAATTAAAAAGAAAACATTTCATATGTTATACATAGGTTATAAGTTAATATGTGCAATGTATAAAGCTTATTTCCAACTGTTAAATTTATTGCATTTTAATATATAAAACATAAAATTAAGGAGGTATATAATCATTACTTAAATATATAACCAATTATAATACCAACTGATAACCTGGACAAGATAAAACCTATAAATAAAACCAAATTATTACATACTATTTGTGTTTATATTTTACTTCAATCTCATAACCAGAACTAACGGATAATCCGAAACCGATGTAATTTTATTCCTATATCCAGATCCGAAATATGTATCATATCCTTAACATCTCTAGTTTTTATTATCTATACTATAGATAGAAAAAGTCAAATATATAGATTCTATAGATATATATATATATTCATTTGACTTTTTCTAGGCGTATTTGCAATCAGCTCTAAGGAGTGAACTTGTAGTATATTGTTTATCAGAATGCCAAATCGTAAAATGACTGCTTTACGACCGATTTGAGCGCGACCGCCGCTGCGATAACTGCTGTGAGTTCGAAAAGTGAGTCTTACAGAATCGCAAGGCAGGTGCTTAATTTTTCATATATTTGTCTGTACGTTAAAATTGTTAGTAATAAATTGCTACTACTCTGCTATCTATATCATTATCTGATTAATTTTAAGTATTTTTGTTGGTTACTGCAATAAAATAGTAATTTGAGAGTTATAGTAAACATAAACAATTTGGAGGATAATTACTTATTGTTATATTTTATAACACGTGACTTTTGTAAATCACTTTAATTTGGGTACAATTAAACAACAAGTGCCGTATTTATCCTGTATTTCTATTTTATATAAAAATCACGTCTTAGCGACTGAACCGGTTTTGTTGTATTACAGAAATGATACGTAAGCAAGGCTACTTCAACAACTCAACATTCAACTTCCTAAATCCTATTTAATTATAATTTTTATGGAACAAAGATACAATACTTACATATTATATATTTACATAATCTCAATTATTATAATATAAAAAAATACAGAACAAATATAAGGTTCATTAGAGACATTATTTTCTTTAAATTTATTCTTAAAATTCATTACTATGTAACATTTATATTGATTGATTAACCTCTGAGCACTGAGACGGGAATAATATAACGTCGTATCCGTTGAACCAATGCCACGCTTTCTCTATTTAAATGTTCTAAAGGAAAGAGATACCAATAACATTAGCGTTGATCTTGAACTCGGGAATGTGACAGCTGACAGCTGCCATATGTCATTTACGACAATTTCAACGCTTCAACAACATTTGGTACAGTATCACTTTTATGTTTGCAAAGCATTCGTAATAAATGTAGTTTCTTATCGCCCGTATTGGCCGATTCCAATTCGTATAACGTACATAAATTGACTAATAGGTTCTCATTTAAGCCGCGTTCTGGGTCTGATTGTATGGCCTTTTGCAAAACAGATATTGCCTCTTTAAGCCGACCCATATAGAGAAGGCAAACTGCTATGTTGTTTGCTACCTGCAAAATAACAATAAATACTTTACACGGAGGAGAGAAGAGCTGTCCCTATATTATAGGGACAATATGATTGACTGACCAAGTTAAGAAGTTCGGTCTCAGAATTATTTGCCCATACAGATAACAGTGGTGTGGAGGACAGGACTTTCCGAAATCGGAATGTTTGTCGGAATAAACTTTCCGATTTTGGAGGCCTAGGTTCTTCTCAAATACGTGTCCGTCCGTCGTTCCACAACTGAGCGTTATTTAAGGCAGGTTTAGCCACCACTATAATGTGAAACCAGCTGCCCACTGAAGTATTTTCGAATCAATTTGACTTAAGGTCCTTCAGTCAAGAAAAGATCGAACGAATTCTTAAAAGGCCGGCAACGCACTCGCGAGCCTTCTGGCATTGAGTGTCCATGGGCGTCCAATTAACATCAGATGAGACTCTACAAAAAAAAAAATTCTACAAAAAAAACGTTTTTGAAATCGGAATTATTGTGAACGTTGACTAAAAAACGATTTCCGAGAAAGGTATAACTTTTTGTGATATTTTTTTTTTATCATAGCTTACCATTATGTTGGTGGGTTCTTGATCGCCAGCTTTGGCAAAGTTATTGTATGCATCTTGATACTTGCCATGCGCGATGTCTATAAGACCCAAGTCCACGTACTCCCGCACGTCAGGTGTCGGGCATCTAAGCGTATAAAATTAACAATAAGTAAATATCATATTTTTAGAAAGTGCAATACTGAAAGTGAAAAATGATTTTCAATAGTTTTGCCCCTTATTACGAGATTTCGGAACAACAGAATGCTTTTAAATAACGAAAATATAGTTTTATAGTGTCAGAGATGACAAACATGGAAAACAATATATTCAATATAAATACTCACAGGTGATGTCTTGTCAGCCTGGCGTGTTGTAAATGTAAATAAGCCGCTTCGACATTTCCCGCCAAAAGTTGCAAACGGCACAGAGCACTCGACAGAGCTCGTTGCTGCTGCGCCGTTGTCGATTGTTGTTGGAGCTTTGTTAGTATGTTCGTTGCTAATCTGTAGTCCTATAAATAAGAAAGCTATTTAATTCGTATTAGTATATAATAAAATAAATAAATAAAAATTTATTTTAGTTAAAATATTCGATAATTATAAAACTGGCCCAACTTAAAGTCTACATTTAATAAGTTTGCAACACTGATGAGCTTAATATAAATATATAAAACAAAGTCGTGTTAGTTACACCACTTATAACCCAAGATCGGCTGGACCGTTGTTAGTTATCTCTTTTTTGGTGAATTCTTCTCCGCTCTGAATAGCAGAATAAGTAATAAAAATAAATAAATAAATTTTACGAATGCAAACAGCAAGTGGTGCCATCTGTTTACAAAATTACGTATATAAAAGAAACCTACAATTTGTTCTTGCGCTGGATAACAAAACAAAAAATGTTGTACGCAAGAAGTGCTTTAACATGCAGGAAATTGGCCTAGAGAGAAGGGGCCGTAAAACTGCCATTCTTCTTTCGCAGGCCGGCAATAAAAATTTCTGTATTTGCAAACAAGTTTTATTAATGTTATTACCTTAATAAAATCCTAAATTAAGTTTAACTAAAGAAAACACGATATTATTAGGCTGTTAGGCGGAACGAAGTTCGCCGGGTCAACTAGTATTTTATAAAAAGACTAAAGATACCTTGTTTGTTACTATGGCAACATGGTAACCATGGTAACAACCGTACCGTGCGTTACCTTTAAAGCAATAGCACAATTGACAATCGAATGGAGCACTCTGACGCGACGACCCGTCCAAAGGCGTGTTGATTCATTTTTATCCTCTTCCGTTATAATGCCAACGCCATCTTCCGTTTTATTCTTGTTTAGATTTGTTAACATCTGTAGAAATTTGATTTTAAATATACATTCTTTTAATTATATAAAATTCGAATATGTTTGGCTTTATTTGAAGTAATAAAACGAACGATTTTCACAAAAAAAAAAAAAAAAATATTTTATTATGGAACAAAATACATGTATCACATTCCCGTCGAGTGCGTTGCAGACATCCCTTTCGAAAGAAGACAGAGGGTGTGGGGGGGGGAAAAAAGGGGGGGGAAAAAACTCCCGGCCCTTTTAAAAAAAAAATTAGCAACAACACTTATTTAAAACAAATATCAATAAAGAACCCTAGGCTTAAAATTTTTATAATTTTATTTTTTTAAATTTTTTAAATTTTTAAAGGGGGGGAAAAAAAGGTTTGGTTTTTTTAAAAGAGCCCCCTTCCCCAAAAAAAAATAAATTTAGGGGGGGGGGGGGGGGTTTTTTTTTAAGATGATATATTAAATATATCATCTTAGGGTTCAAATATATTATTATTAATTCTAAAAAATATATTACAGCGAAAATCACTATTTTTCTTAAGTGCTAAATCCAAAGTAATTACGACCATACAGGGTATTGACAGGAGACAAACGCGTGATTTTTAATATTTAGCAAATAAAATCGTAATAAATAATGATATCAGAACATTGGTTTATTGGTCAACAAATTCTGGAACTGGTAGACGCTCAGCCTTCTGTGCCTCACGCGCTCGATTTTCGGTAAGGCCAACCAGTTTCCTCACAAAGTTATCTTCACTATAACGGCAAGTGTTTGTCAGAAGAAAAATCCATTGGTAGCACGCACGACCTAACGTTCTAGTAGTCACTTAAACACCAGACTAATGATAAGCGTTCAAAAATTATAAGTATTATCAAAAATATCTATCTATAATTAAAAACATACATTATCAATAACATCCAAAATGATATATAGTCTGTCCATTGCCTCCTCGGGTTTGCCAACGTGACTTGGCAGCTCCGCAATTAGAAGCCGCAACGAAAACGGTACCAGAGAACCAGTGCGATTTTCGTGTATGTCGGGGTAAAACTGAAAATGTTTACATAATTTGAGTTATTTTTTATCAATGCGAAGATAGTAAGGGGTTTTTTTTGGGAATAAGGCGTATAGTCTGTGTGTCACACGTCATAGAATTTGAGGGAAAGCTCTAAGGCCGACTTCTGTACGTCAAAAGTGTTTTTGATTTTGACATACGGGAATTTTTTTTCTGAATCTCACTCTAAGCAACGAATAGATAATAGTAGGAAAGAAGCACAAATTGCCAACTTTTTTAGGCGCATGAGGATAATTTTTTTACGAAAACGTCACGAAGATGTGCAGCGTTTTTGTCGAAGGAAAGGGAGAGAGCTATTGAGACCGATTGATTTTGAAAGCCAGAACTTTGTATATTTCTATTATATTTCCTCCATCTGTCTTTAATAGGTTATGATAATGCACTAAACGAAATATCTTTCTTTGAGTTACCATGTTTATAGGTTCTCATATATACTGGATCTAAATAAGATACTAACTCAACATTTCTGCATTAGAAAAACTGACCTTGAACTTTATAAACATTAAAATAATTCTTAATTTTTTTTTTTAATAGAACGGGGGCAAGCGGGCAGGAGGCTCACCTGATGTTAAGTGATACCGCCGCCCATGGACACTCTCAATGCCAGAGGGCTCGCGAGTGCGTTGCCGGCCTTTTAAGAATTGGTACTTCAGTGGGCAGCTGGTTCCACATAGTGGTGGTGCGCGGCAAAAACTGCCTTGAAAAACGCTCAGTTGTGGAACGTCGGACGTCGAGGTGATACGGGTACTATCATCGTGTGATCGGGTAATAACTGTCAATCGACCTGACACTGAATAAATACAATTTCATACCTGATAAAACATGTCCGGTTTCATAAAATCACCGAACGGTTCCGCTTCCTTCATCAACGAGTCTACAAGTTTAATTCTCAACATCACTGCGAACCTAGTCAGCCACAGTTGTAATGTACGTGGGGTGTGTTTTGTCGGTCTGTGCATTCTACCAGGTCCTAAAAACATAATAATAGTTATTTTACTTATTTATAGAAATCTGTGGAGTTGTATTTTACGGTTAATGTGCTCTATGATCATAATTACGATAAATTATATTTAATTTGCCCCTAAGACTTACCTATAATCTGTATTGGTAATAGAAATACAATAAAACAAAGGCTCTACAACCTCTTTAGGTCTTGGCCTCAGATTTCGGAATCTGTTTCATGATCATTTTTAAATCTATTAAGCAAGTAGGTGATCAGCCTCCAGTGCCTGACACACGCCGTCGACTTTTTGGGTCTAAGACATGTCGGTTTCCTCACGATGTTTTCCTTCACCGTTTGAGCAAATGTTAAATAAAAAAGAAAGAAAGTACATTGGTACATTGGAACCTACGACCTCAGGTATGAGAGTCGCACGCTGAAGCCAGGCCAACAATTATTTATACTTAATAATTATTTATACCATTTGATTAAACCTGCCCTCTTCACTTTCTCGTTAGGAATCACATAGGTAATCGGTTATGGACATCTCTAACAGCCTTAAATTTACAATAAATCGTGAAAAATGCTTGATATGGAAGGTGATAAATGCAGTAAATATATAATAACCCGTAACAGTTGCAACATTATTATATATACATACATATATTTGTGAAATTCGGGAGAAAACTGAAAATAGTTTTTATGTAGGTCTTGCTTAGGTGGTAAACTTTTTAGTTTGTAATAAAAACGATAATTTAAGATTACCTTGTCCCGCAGCAGTTATTAAAGTAGCAGTCAGATTAACAGCTGCCCTCAAATATCCAGTCCTAAGTAGTTCTCTTAATCCAGCTTCATCTCGACTCACGTGTTCAGCTCTAACGACACCACGGCTTCCCGCTGAACTGACACCAAGGTACTTCACTGCCACTTCCTGAAGGGCATCTGCCTGAAAATAGAGAAATAATATAACGCGATTAATTATTTATATCTTCCAACATACAAATCTTAATCATAAAAAATTTATCAACCTTACAAATTTAATTGTCATTTGCATACATAAATTTAGTTGTAGATATCAAATTGTTTCCATGTTGTGTCAATTCAAGATTAAAACTCTTTTAATAGGTAAAAGGCATTATCTATTTTATATTCTTTAAACATAGGCATATGATTATTAAAAATAACTTAAATCATCAATTCTTTTTTGTATTTAATTAAATCCTTTGGACATATTAAATACAAAAATAATTGAAACTGATAAATATACAGCCTCTATGCTAAAAATTAAGGATCTTATTGTTTTAAACAGTATCTTTTCAATGACAATGTATAAATATATATATATATATATATAGTCAAAACCGTTTATAACGACATCGTTTACAACGACCTATCGGTTATTACAACCAGATTGTATGGTCCCGTCCGAATCCCTAGTAAACTATTTAGTAAAGAAACCGCTTATAACAACATCGGATACAGCGACATATCGCTTACAACGACGAAAGTTTATCGATATTCATCGGATATAACGACCAACCGCTTCTTGTTTCAGTAAAACAAAACAATACAAACGATTTTAAATTTTATTTATAAGCATTGAATGAATATTTAGGCATATTATTACCTACGCACTTTCTCCCAACGAACAGTTTCAGCCAACAACGATTTCAGAGGCTCTTAACGCTGTAACGATTTTGCAAAAATTTGTTGCCTTTAATGAACAGTTTGATACTGGTGATACTCATACCTTGAGGAGTATGAAACGTAAAATGCAAAAAATATTTGAGACTGGGCTAAAAAAAAACAGACTGACTGATTACTTTTGTACCTAATTATTTCGTAATAAATATTTTTGTTTCTTTTTTGACTCGTTTACATATTATAATATTAACATACCATATTATAACCCATACAGGGCCACGCCGACCCCCGGCAGCGCCTGTGTGCGAAACCCATGAAGCGCCTCCTTTTTCTATAGGGGGGCAAACGAGCCTTAGGGACGGACAAAAATGGCAGTCATTGAACCTCATAGACATTTTTAGCGGGTGTTTTGCAGGCCTTTGAGGGAACTCCTTCTATATTTCGGCCAATTTTTTTAAGAATCTTCAAGTTTCAATGTATTTTTTTAATTTTGACCGAAAGAAAAAATTTCTTTAGTTTAATCCACTTAAATAGGTAAAACGTCCGCTGGCCAATTGCCGGGAAAAATAAAACGTGAATTAAATTGTTACATAGTTTATTTATGATGTTATTTTTATCTAACCGTTTTTAAGGTCAGATTTATGACATATCTTTGTAATAAATCCCATCTTTTAGTAGAGGACGAAAAATATTTATATAGTTCTTGCACAATATTAAAAAAACCCAGTCGTGTAAGAGATGTGCAGCGTCATTTATTATTAAATTAAAACTATGGCTGGCGCACGGACATAAAAAAGTGCGGAGATTTAGATCCCGCAATATTCTTACCGCGCATATTTGAGCCATTATCATAGCCTTGCCCCCCTTAAGTTCTTTATGTCCAAATTAATTTCGTTTAGTTTTTCTATTATAAATGACGTTTCTCCAGCGCCAGTTGTATCTACGATTAGGCAGAAATTGCTATTATAAATTGGAAAGCTAGGAAATGCTCTCTTATTCTTAACTTTCTAGTTTACGTGTTAAAGTTGACAAATCTTATTATCATACTAATTTGCTCTTCGTGTGAAATGTCAGTAGTACAATCCAGTATTATTGAAAATATTTATTAATTCGACATAAATTTAAAATAAAAATAGGTAAAAAACTTTTTAAGTTAAACGGTTTTATGTTAAACATACATTGCAATGTTTAAGATAAATGTACTAAAAACCAAAAAATAATAAAATAGATACAGTCGTGGGAATTATAAGCATATGCATAGACTAGACTAAAATAAAACCGTGGGGCACGTCAATTGTCTACAAATTATCGACTTAATGTGCGATAGAAGAATCGTTTAATTCGTCGTTAAAATAGGCAGTTGGCCCGCAGACTTCAGGAAATTACTTACTATTTTCTTGCTCATGGAAATTCCAATAGTTATACACTCCATGTAAATAAAAGAGATGTTTCAACTAGTTTATCGTTGGACATTCACACTGCTGGCTGGCGAGGAATCGTTTCAACAGACAATTGACATGCCCCACGGTTTTATTTTAGTCTAGTCTATGCATATGTTTATAATTCCCACGACTGTATCTATTTTATTATTTTTTGGTTTTTAGTACATTTATCTTAAACATTGCAATGTATGTTTAACATAAAACCGTTTAACTTAAAAAGTTTTTTTACCTATTTTTATTTTCTAGTTTTTAGTTTTTATTTCGCATTCTGTTTAATTCATTTAGTGCTTCATTATTGCAAGGTTCCTTGCCCGTTAGTTTATATAAATAAATCAATTCTATAATATAAATATAATATATATTTAATTAATAAAATAGATACAGTTTTTAATATAATGTTATATATTATATAATATTTATTTATTTATTTATTTAGTTTATTGTATTGTCACCAAAATCCAAAGTGTATACAAAATTTCAGATTAATCGGTTGACAGGAAGAGGGTGAAATTTGAATTACTAAATTTGACCCAAGAATAAAACAAACGGGGTGAGCTAAATAAAACCATTTAATAAAATGTTTAATTTGGTTACCGAGTATAAAAACTATGTAGTTCATTTTGGATTTTATCAAGGTATGTCGGCATATTATTGAAATCATAAGACATAAACACACTCAAAAAACTCACGGCGGTCACCAGCGGCCTTTCTTTTGATTCGCTAAGCTCTGAGTAATTAATGTAAACTAAAACCTAAAGCGTAAAATGAAACTTCAAACGTACGTAAGAATATTGTAGTGTAGTATAAATAATTTCGGTGGCGGCGCCCTTATTGTATTAGCGCCTGTGTGCACCGCACACTTTGCACATATGGGCGGCGCGGCCCTGAACCCATACCTACCTATTCTAGATCGATAACTATGTACATACATATGTACTGTACTTGTGTACATGACATTGCTTATAACGACTATCGGATATAACGTCGGCAACTCTACGGTCCCTTCAATGTCGTTATAACCGGTTTTGACTGTATATATATATATATATACTTATAGTAATTAGGACTTAGAAAATATTGATTATATTAATTTTATTGAACTTACCAATTCTTCTTCTAACACAATTCCAGGCATTGTGAGAACTTCTCTTTCGGGGAAAAAAGAGCCTTTTGGTGACGATTGTGCCTAAAAATAATGTATTTGTACAACAAAGTAGTATGAACTCTAGTATAATATAAGAAAATACGCAAGTATAAAAACACATTTCATTATTAGCATTTAAATGTTAAGGATGTATCACTTGTATGGAGTGTTATGAGGTAATAGATTCATAATGTTTTCCAGATAATAGATAAAAACATATCACAAAAATCAATGTGTTCATACTGTATACAAAAAATGAAACTAAGTTAATACCTTTATTAAAGTCTTTTTCGCTTCCTCATCTGGTATCCATGCATCTCTTCTTCTATCAGCTTCCTTGTCTACTGGTTGATTCTGTATAATTGTATTTAGATTAATGGATAAATTTTAATTACATGAAAGAATTTAGACAAGATTAGCCAACCCAAAAAATATTGAATTTTTATTATTTGAGTATGACATATACAGCTAGAAAAGTTAAAAGTTATAGAATACCTTTATGCTTAATCCATCCATTGCATCAGTTATCATAGCAGCAGAACCAGTATTCGTTTTCAGAACCCCAATTGGAGGGTCTGGGCCAATTGTATCAAAAAATGTAGAAGGATCCGGTAAACTAGTCACAGGAATCGATGTAGATCCACTGACAGTGGGTAATATATCTGTAGGGCCTTCTTCAGATTGGCCGAACGATGCTCTAACTTGAGGTGTAATTGCGGTTTGTGCGCCTTAAAAATTTATGATTAAGCTTTGTTTTTACGTTTTATATTAAATTTGTAAGTTTAGTAAAATATGTTAGTACCTTCTGAATCACCTAAATATACGCTTTGTACCATTTCTGATGGTGAAGTACCAATTTCATCAAAGAACTGAGATGCAGGTGGTATTTCTGAACTTCCAAAATACTGGCTTAAATTAGGTTTATCCATGTTTACAAGTAGTTTTTTAAGAAGTTATGCATTAAAGTTAAAATATTTGTTTTATATTTAAATTTACATTATACTTGTTTTTGCACTTCCAAGTTTTTAGTACGAGAAATGACAATTGATGCGGCTAACAGCTAATTGCCATTAATGACAGCTGGAATATTTGACAAAAATTTGATTACCGATATTTCTTTGATTTTGGCTTTCCTTTTAGCGTTTGCTTTACCGATACAGTAGCAAACCATGTTGTAAGTAAACTTTATACTTCCGATTCCTATTATGTTTTCTGTAAGGACGTTTCCTTACAGAAAACATTAACAAATTTTGTGTAAATGATGATCAATGAAAAACATCAATTCTCGATCCGAATGTCAATTGTCAATGTCTTAATTGATAGTCTTGTACTGTGTACACTAATATGGGTGTACATTTTAAACGAAACTTATAATTTTATCTTTACATCATATTATAAACAAATTATTACTTGTTTTGAAAAGTAGGCTAGAAGTATATATCGTATATTGATAGCAACAAATCCGCAAAAATTTTCGACATATATCGTATATACAACACAGAGGTACGCTTACATCAATCTATTGGGGTAGTAGGCTAAATTATGGAGTATTTTGTTAATTTATCTTAATAGTTGCAGGCGGAAATGACGAACCAGGCTTCGCCAGTTGAAGAGCAGGAAAAGCTTCTGGAAGAAGCTTTAAATGTAGTTAAAGTGCAGGTATATTCCAATTCACTAGCAATTTTTAATCTATTCAGACTTGTCTTAATGCTTTATGTTGTGATTAATCTCAACCATATCTTTTTATTTGTACAACATTTATATATGCCAAATAAAGACACAAATGTTAACCCATTTGACTTTTTAGATAAATTGGATGGTAAATTTTAAATGACCACTGATAATTATCAGGTTTTAATAATAACTAATCCATTTTTTTAGGCATTTCAAATGAAGAGATGCTTGGACAAATCAAAGTTAATGGATGCTTTAAAGCATGCATCTACAATGTTGGGAGAATTACGTACATCCCTTCTGTCTCCTAAGAGCTACTATGAGCTATGTATCCTTTTGTAATTGAGTTTAAATTAAGGTAATAATTAGAGTACACAAACTTTTTATTACAGAGAATTTAGAAACAGTGTGTTTACTTAGTGATCAATTTATTTATTTATTTACATGTGTGTGAAAATTTTCTAAGTGATTAATTTTTCTTTTGACTATGTAATGTGTTTGTGAAGACATTTCAGAATTTACATATTGTTAAGTAAATTTTGGAGTAAAATTCCAAGATAGTTAAGAAGAATTCCTGACAATGCTTGGAATAAATAAAATGTGTTAAATAGCAAAAAGGTTTGGATCTGAATATATGATTACTATGAATGTCATATTAAAGCAGTTGTTGTATCTTATCAGCACAAAGTGTATACCAATAAAATCCTGACCAAAACAGATATGGCCATAACTGATGAGCTACGGCACCTTGAACTTTACCTTCTAGAAGAGTTCCAAAAAGGGCGTAAAGTAGCAGACTTGTATGAATTGGTTCAATATGCTGGTAACATTGTTCCACGTCTCTATTTGTTGATCACTGTTGGCTTGGTGTATATTAAGACTAACACAAACTTAAGAAGAGATCTCTTAAAGGTGAGTTTAAATACAGTTAATTATTTATTCATCGTAACATCATAAAACAATTCCATCCTTGATAGTACATTTATTAACACAAGAATTCTATTAAATGTAGAGTAATTTTACAACTCTTTAAGTTGTCTTTAATTAGAGTCATTTCCTTTCCATACAGTAACATGTAAGTTAGTGAAAGCAATTTTTTTAATAGACTTGCATAATGCATTATATCACTTTATAGTAAGTTATGAACGAGATAATAATAATGTTTGTTAAGGTGTGATTCTTTAATATTATTGATTTGTATAAATGACTAATTAGCTTTAACCCTGAATAAAATAGTATGAATGCATATTTCAGGATCTTGTTGAGATGTGTCGTGGTGTACAGCATCCACTGCGGGGATTGTTCTTGCGCAACTATTTATTACAGTGCACGAGAAACATTCTCCCTGATACCACTGAAGCACAAAATGAAAACGAGGGAACTGTAAGTTATTTATTAGTATTAACCAATGCCATATGTGTACCAAAACAAATATACTTTAAGTTTTGGTACACATATGGCATTGTATGTATGTAATGGAACATACATTTGGTGAGAAGCAACTATATTCATATTATTATTTAGTAAATATAAAATCTTATTTTAATACATTGCCTAGGGTCAACTTTGTTAAAAGATTTATTTATGGTTAAATCAGGCACGTGACGCTATTGACTTTGTGCTGATGAATTTTGCTGAAATGAACAAGTTGTGGGTGCGAATGCAGCATCAGGGTCACTCAAGGTATATTTAAAATAATTTTTATCTTCTATATATTCTGAGAGAGATTAATTCAAGAAATTAATGTGATGAAAAACTTATTTTTAGAGATAAAGAACGACGCGAGCGTGAAAGATCCGAACTCCGTATATTAGTTGGGACGAATTTGGTTCGTTTGTCGCAATTGGAGTCTGTGGGAGTGGATGACTATAGGCGTCTCGTGTTGCCTGGGATTTTGGAACAAGTTGTCAGTTGCAGAGATGCGATAGCCCAGGAATATCTTATGGAGTGTATTATACAGGTTTGTTTTATTTTCTTATATTCTGTGACCCGTTATTTCACCCAAGGGGGCATTTCACGTGAAGCGAAAAAAAGAGAGGTCGTAGAATTTGTTTATATTTGGATTAGTCATACAAAATAATGCTAATTAAAATTCTGATATTTAAGGAGTAGATTTTTTTTTAAATATCGCGCTTTGCAATTCGTATAGATATTTCTTATCAAAATAAATTTTGAAAAATAAAAAAAGAGGGTTGAGGGTTAAATTAAAAAAAAAACATAAACAATTCTACTAACTGCCTTTAACAATTATAAATAAATTCTAATTTTTACTACTAAATAGTAATATGTAAACTAAATATTCATACAATACATACATGCATATTCATTCTTAGGATATTTAAATAATAAGGCATCGAGCGGCCTTATCGCTTCTAATCAACTTTATAGATAGAATCTCTTCCAATCAACCATTTAATTAAAATTAAATAAAATAATATAAATAAAAATAATAATAGCAATATATTAATAGGAATTCCAATCTACACATCCAGGTATTCCCTGACGAGTTCCACCTGGCGAATCTGCAGCCATTTTTAAAATCCTGTGAAGAACTACAACCCGGAGTCAATATAAAGAACATTATTATTGCTTTAATTGAGCGATTGGCTGCGTTTAGTCAGGTGAGTAATTAAATTAGATAATAACTCGATTTTAAAACTTAAATTATTTGTTATTATTCTACCAATAACGCCTTTTTCTTTATCTATACTAATATTATAATGAGGAAAGATTTAAAAAAAATAAAATAAAATATGTTTATTATGGAACATAAGATACATGTATCACTTATTCCACGTCATTAAATTTGAATTTGTAGGCATCCCTACTCATCGGCAAAAAAGACTGAGGGCCGAGAGAAAAAGCCGGCGTAGAAAACTCTCGGTACTCTTTTAAAACAGCAAATCATCAAACAACACTTACGAGGGGAGGTCCAAAAGTTCGTGGAATGAAAGGGTTTTAGTAAAAATGAAACAGTAAATTTATTTTTCCTTTTCAATATAATCACCCTTAAGCTGAATACATTTATTAGATCTATGAATTAATTTTTCTAAACCATCGTAAAAATATTTTTTATCTTTTCCCTCAAAATGAGCCAAAATTGCCTCCTTTACCTCATTGTCGTCGGAAAATTTCCTTCCCCTTAAGTCTTTTTTTAAATTGGGGAACAAATAAAAATCACTTGGGGCCAGGTCTGGACTATAGGGTGGGTGGACTAGTGATTCGAAGCCATGCGTGTGTAGAGCAGCCATTGCAACTTTGCTCTTGTGAACCGGCGTGTTGTCTTGCAAGAGCAACACACCCTAGGTCAATTTTCCCCGACGTTTTTCTTTGATGGCATCCTTTAATTTTTCTAGTATTGTTGCGTAGTATTCTCCGGTTATGGTCCTGCCCTTTTCTTTATAATCAATCAGTATTATCCCCTCACAATCCCAAAAAACAGTAGCCATCAACTTTCCAGCCGACTCCGACACTTTGAATTTCTTTGGCGGTGGTGTCCCCTTTTTATGCCATTGCATGGACTCTTGTTTGGACTCAGGCTCGAAGTGATGAACCCATGTTTCATCGCCGGTAACAATTCGCTCCAAAATCGATCCAGGATCGTCGCTACACAACTCCAAAAAATGTTTTGACGCTTCGACGCGCTGCTGTTTTTGAAGCGGCGTGAGCATTCTCGGTACCCATCTTGCACTGACTTTTGTCATAGCCAGGTGGTCATGTAGGATTCGCAAAATTATGGTATCTGATACTCCAACTAATGCAGATAACTGTTTTTTCTTCAAACGGGTGTCCTCCAGTACAATTTTTTCCACTTTTTCGACGATGTCTGATGTGGTGGCCTCAACTGGCCTTCCTGAGCGGGGTCGTCTTCAATCGACTCCCGACCATGTTTAAAAAGACCATGCCATTTGTAAATCATTGATTTACTAGGGCACTGTTCCCCGTAAACAGTTTCCATTTCATTCAAAATGGTCTGAGCGTTCTTTCCTTGCTTGGTAAGGAATTTAATGACAGCACGGTGTTCAATTTTCTCCATAGTTTCAGTTTTCTTCCGGATTGACGTGTTTAGCAGGCGAGTGTTCGTAAACGAATGACGCAATAGGGCTGAAACTCCATTTATATACTAATTATGAGTCCCCAATTAGTATGACACTAAGCGAGTGCCCCTATCCCCACTCCATCCCCTCCATTCCACGAACTTTTGGACCTCCCCTCGTATTTAAAACAAATATCGCAAATTAATTAAAAGTAGCCTGTCTAGCACTAGTCCCAGGCCCTTTTATCAACTAGATAATCGTTGACTTTATAGTAAGCCTTTTTACACAGCTTTTCTTTAATACATTTCTTAAATTTATTGAAAGGCAGAGATAAAAGAGCCTCTGGTATTTTATTTAAGAAGAGTATCCCTTTCCCCAAAAAAGAATTACTAACTTTAGATAGTCTAGTACGGGGAAATTGCAGCCTGCGTTTGTTCCGAGTATTAACATTGTGCGTATGTTTTATTCTAGTAAATTTATCACTATTTTTGTATACATACATAATATTTTCATAAATATATTGCGAGGGAAAGGTAAGTATATTAATTTCCTTGAATTTATCTCTAAGAGATTCCCTACATTTTAAATTATAGATTGCACGAATAGCCCTCTTCTGCAGGATGAAAATAGTTTCGACATCAGCAGCATGACCCCATAATAATAAGCCATAAGTCATTAAGCTATGAAAGTAACTAAAATAAACAAGTCTAGCTGTATCGACATCAGTTAGTGAGCGAATTTTTTTAACCGCGTAGGCTGCAGAACTAAGTCTCTTCGTTTAAAATTGGTCTAGTATCCATAACCCTTGCATTTTTTGCACAAAATTTAATGCATTTTGTCTTTTTTGCATTAAGTAGAAGGTTATTCATACTAAACCAATGATGATGATGTATACGTATGTATGTTTGTAACGAATTGCCTTAAAAGAGTACTAGATTTTAAAAATTCTTTCACAATTTGAATGCTACATTATCACTGATTAATATAGACTATCTTAATTGCAAGAAAAAAATAAGGATCCCTACTGAAACTATGATAATGTTACCCAATGTGTAAAAGAATGCCTATAAAATATCTTTCATCGCATGCGGTGCGAAAACTATTGATGATAGAACAAAAAAATGTTCCACAATATTAAAGAACATATCTACAAAAATTAAAAAAAAAATGCACCCATGCGAAGCAGGGACGGGCCTCTAGTCGATAAATAAAAGATACAAAAAATTATCACCTTGTAACCCAAACTATAAATTCATCCTAATCACCTAGCAGTTTGAAATGTATCTTATTTTACTAAATACATATAAAATTTCATAAAACATGGGCTAGTGGTTTCGGAGTGCAACAAACACCTTGAAACGAATTATAATGTATATAATATATTTTCTATAATCTCACAATTTTCTACAGAGAAACGAAGGCAATGTCAACTTAAGCGTGGTTCTAGAAGATGGGAAAGAAGAGGAGGTGCAATTGTTTGAAGTTTTCTCGGATCAAGTCGCTGCTATCACTCAGGTATTTAGTATTATTTTCATCTGATTCATTAAGAACTTTGTTCAACATTATTAACATTCTATATTACAGTGTAAAAATAAAGTGGGTTTCTCTGATACGGTAATTCAATGTATAATAATCAAATAGGCATGTATTAAAGATATACTATAATACTAGCAGACCGGCCAAGCGTTGCTGTGGCTAAGGTTTTTGTTATATTACATAGTAGTAAACTATTCAAGGGAAACGGTAGGAGAACACCAGTCATGGGGACCACCATGCTTTATGGTGGTTATGCTATTAAATTGTAGAAACGTTGAAAGAATTATGTGAAACGTTGGTACTTTTTAATAAGAACCAAATATTTTGCAATAAAATAATATTGCGGGTATAAATTGAGATGTATCCTATCTTTTAAGTTAGATCAAACTGCACACCTTGTGCAAATTTGATTGATATTGGTTCGGTAGTTTAGGAGTCCATAGCGGACAAACAATGTGACACGTAATTTATATATTAAGATAACTATTTTACGAATATTTGAATTAAAATATTTTCTTCTGACACTAAAGAATTTCTGTTCTCTTTCCTATATTTTTTTTACTTTATTTTGCTAGGTATATCTTTTTGCCAATAGTAACTCCAAGACACCCATAGAACTTTAACAATGACTTTGATAAATGAAAAAGTTCTGCAAGAACTCAATTTATTTGTCAGGCTATTTGCAATCCCAAATGGTAATTTGTGGCACCAGGCGTAAGCAAGTTTAGTTAGCAACCATCACACTACACTTATATTCGTTATCGTTAACAGATGTGTCAAATAGATTTTAGAACCCTTAAATAAATACAGGTTTTGGTTAGTCTAGCGTTGCAACCCCACTACCCCTTATTTAATGTTAGCTTATGTTTTAAACGATTAAAGCCAGTTGACACCCAGCTTCAAACAAAGAGTTTCATTAAACATTTGAACATGCCTACAACAACCGCCACCGAAGTTAACTCGTGCAAAAAACTTTTTCGAACAGAGTCGCACAGACATGCCATCCGAAGACATGCTATCCCTCCAACTGGCTTTACTTAAGTTGGCGCAACGCTGTCACCCAGACAAACTGAGTTACGTGGACCGAGTATTGGCTCACACGGACAGGATCTGCACTGATATTCAGCAGGCGAGGTATTCTTATACTTATTCATATTAAATGTTTGGAAAATGAGATATTAATCTATAAGTAAAAAATTTCAGCACATAGCCATATCCCTGAGGTCGTGGGTTCGATCTCCGGTTATCCACCAATGGACTTTTCGGTCTATATGCGCATTTAACACTTTTTATGATAGAAAACATCGAAAGGAAACCAAGTGTGTCAGGCACAGAAGGCACTTTTGGGCTCGGCTTTCTTGCAGTGTTGGCCTAGTGGCTTCAGCGTGCGACTCTCATACCTGAGTTTGTAGGTTCGATCTCCGGCTGTGCACCAATGGACTTTCTATGTGCGCATTTAACATTCGCTCGAACGGTGAAGGAAAACATCATGAGGAAAACGACATGTCTTAGACCCAAAAAGTCGACGGCGTGTGTCAGGCACTGGAGGCTGATCACCTACTTGCCTATTAGATTTAAAAATGATCATGAAACAGATTCAGAAATCTGAGGCCAAGACCTAAAGAGGTTGTAGCGCCACTGATTTTTTTTTTCACTATAGAAGCGATTGTTGCGCACAAAGAAAGAAAAGTCTAAAGGGACCTCGATTCGAATGCAAAAATCCTCTTATTAAATAGATTATAACCAATTTAAAATGATTACAGCGGCAAAAACCACATAGAACACAACACGCCAGTGTTCAAAGAGCTGATGAAGATTCTGAAGCTCCCGGCAGACCATTACAAGAACATCTTAACATTGATCAAACTCCAGAACTACGCGCCTCTCATCAATCGCCTCAACCAACCTGGAAGGCTGATGATTGCTGTGCATTTAATCACGGATGTTATAGAGAGCGATACTACTGTGTCTGCACCAGAAGATGTTAGTATTGTCCTGTGTGTGAATTGGAGATTTGTGTGAACATTGTGTTTGTCCATAATAATAAAAAAGGGTGTGCGTACAAAGTACACATGTCAGAAGTAAAACTTCTTTGGCAAACTAATTTTTAAAGACATAAAAATTCATATTTATATAAATCCAAAAATTTAGATTTCCGAGACTTAGAGGGAGGGAAAAAGGAAGATATGTTAGGAATTTAATAAATTTAATTGTCATTAAAATATTAAGTGTCAAATATTAATACAAATAATTAATTTAATTTTCTTCGATAGTAAAAAACGTGTCGAGTGACGGGACTCCATATTAAATTCAGTAGAAGATGCAGAGAGATCCCTCATCTCTACGCAACGCCAAAGGTTCTAGCAGCACAGAAAGTGACTGGTCGTTGTCATTCATGATAGGATCAAGGAGTCTGGCCATTTATAAGAACTTAAATTGTATTCCTTTGTTGACTAGTTCGCAGTACATAATAATAACCACAAATATCGCCTATCAAAGTAAAAATATATTAATACGTTTTTTAATCATAGGTTGATTCAGTACTCTCAATGGTTGATGTGTTGGTGAAGGATCAAACTGCTCAAGTAGACGAGAATAATGAGGACTTTGTAGAAGAACAGGGACTCATGGCCAGGTAATACATATATGACCCCGCCCTTGAGTCTGAACGGCGAGTTTTTTTTATTACAAAATAGTGTTTAGAAATTCTATGTATAAACAATAATTGGACGTTGAGACGGAATACGAAATTCCAGCCCTAGTTCCACAACTGAGCGTTTAATGGCAGTTGAGCATTATGTGGAGCCAGCTGCCCACTGAAGTATTTCCGAACCAATTCGACTTAGTCCTTCAAGAAGTCTGCCACTTTTATAAACCCGGCAACGCATTTGCAAGCCTTCTGGTATTGAGAGTGTCCATGGGCGGTAGTATCACTTAACAACAGGTGAGCCTCCTGCTCGTTTGCCCCCTGTGAAATAAAAAAAAATTGTTATTTTACTAGTACAGTATAAAAAACCCTATACGGTATTATACATAAATATTATTTTTACATTGTGACATTTCAATGAAATAATCGATTGTCTAATCCGGCTACGACATTTACTTTTTATTAAAAACTCCTAACTCTAACTTTTGTTATTTATCCAGACTTATAAATAATAATAAAACCAAAATAAAATATTTCCAATCCTTACAATTATTGTTAACAATAGTTAAATTTGTTATCTTAATTTTTTCCTTGTTACATCTAGAGCATAGATCAGAACCCCTTCACGGGTAAAAGCCTCCAGCTTTCTCCATTCGCTTCCTGCTAAGGCTTCTATATCTTCTATCCCCATTTTTATGCTCTCTTCTCCTTCCCATTGGTCCATACAAAGTCTTTAAAGTCCATCTTTTATCTGTCATTTTCTAGACTGATACATCACTTCAAATCGGATTCAGCCGATCAGCAGTATCAAATACTGAGCACAGCGAGGAAAGCGCTTCAAAGCGGCGGCGTCAAGCGGATTCAGCATACTTTCCCACCTATAGTGTTCCACGCGTACAGACTGGCTTTCATCTACAAGGATCTTAAGGATCAGGTAACGGGGCACTTGAGACAATAATCATTATTATATCTAAAGTGAAAAAGTATGATTTAAAAGTATTTGCAGACGTACTTATGCGCGGCAATGTTTTTACTAAAATTTAAAAAAAAAAATTGGTTTTAACTGATTTTTATATTATTTGTAAGTTATTATAAAAAATATTTATTAGAACTATAAAAAATTGCAATTTTTATACATATATGATTTTTTTTAAATTAATTCAACAGTCGTAATTTCTAGAACCCAAAACCCATCTAGGCAAGATGGCGTCGCGTCAATCCTTTGAAGTAACACGTCAAATACAAGCCTCTATTTTTTACGTGTTCACTATTCTTAAATTACTCAAATATACATAATATACCTATATAATTATATTTCGATAATACACAGGCTTATTTACCGTAAGCGTAAGCTAACGCTTGTAATCGGTGACCGTTTTGTGTCACGTGATTGATTATGAAATCAATATTGTTAATTAAGGATATTTTCATAAAGTAATAATATTTTTAATTATTTTTACCAATAACGCTTTTTTTACAGTAACTTTCAATTGAAGTGTATTTTTCATTCTGTCATCTGTCTCATCTGATCAGTCATCTGTTGTGTTCTATGGTCTTCTGAATAATCCTCCTTTTGACTATTCTGTTCTCTACCGGGCTTTCCAACTTCTTCAGTAGACTTGCCCTCTCATCTTTACACACACGGCCCCCTCTAGCCTTTTCTTGGATACAATTTTTGTCCAATTTGAGGGTTGGCCTAGTGGCCCTGAATCGTGCACTCAAAGCCCTGTGCATCTCTCTTTCAATGTGTTCAATTAACAATTATTCACGACGATGTGTGTCAGGCACAGATGAACGTATTGCCAGTTCTTCTCTTCCGTTCGACGCATTTGATTTGAGAACTGGCAGTAAATATAAAATTAGAAGCATTTAATGTAATTTATTTTTTGATTTTTATAAGTGTACATTGTGTTACCTATATAAATAAATGAATTTAACTTTGACTTGACTTATAAAATAAAAATGTTTCAATATCGATATATAGGTATGTAGCGAAATACGATTAAAATATTTTATTGTTTCAGGATGAGATGTGGGAGAAGAAATGCCAGAAGATCTTCCAATTCTGCTATCAGACCATCGGGATGCTGGTAAAAGCTGAGTTGGCTGAACTGCCTCTAAGGTATTTTAAATATTAGGAAATCCTCATTTGTAGTTCTAAAATCTATTGGGATGTCCCAGCTTAAATAAATATGCCCAAGGCCCATGTTCCTCAAGAATGTAATGTTCTGATAGTGAAAGAATTTGCAATGTGCAAATTACAAACATACAAATCTTTTTGGTTGCATAAATGATTTTCGAATTGACCGGTGTAATTTTTTTAAACCTTATGAGGGTGGCATTTGCTTAGTATATAAAATTTTTTATTTCTTTAATTGAGTACACACATAATAAAATTTCGAAAAATTTTGCCGTAGACCCAAAAATTCGACGGCGTGTGTCAGGCACAGGAGGCTGATCACCTACTTGCCTATTAGATTGACAAATCATAAAACAGATACAGAAATTTGAGGCCTAGACCCGAAAAGGTTGTAGCGCCACTGATTTATTTATATTAATTTTATAGGTTCTAATTTCTAATAAGAAAAATCTAAAATCTTGACAAATAGCCTAATAAAATAAAATAAAAATAAAATATGTTTATTATGGAACATAAGATACATGTATCACTTATTCCACGTCATTAAATTTGAAGGCATCCCTACTCATCGGCAAAGAAGACAGAGGGTGTAGGCCGAGAGAAAAAGCCGGCGTAAAAAACTCTCGGTACTCTTTTAAAACAGCAAATCATCAAACAGCATCAATCATCAACATTAATCTTTCACTATTTATATGGGGCTATACATAAATAAAATATTCGTTTCTTAGATTATACCTGCAAGGGGCACTGGCAATAAGCGAAATAGGTTTCGCAAACCACGAGACGATCGCATACGAATACCTCTCGCAGGCTTTTACCTTATACGAAGACGAGATTTCGGATAGCAAGGCACAGTTGGCCGCTATAACCCTCATTATCGCCACTTTTGAACAGATCAATTGCTTTGGTAAGTTTTATATCAATTGAAGTTGATAGACCTGTATTATTTGTTTCTATGTTATTTTGTAAGTGTCCACAAATATCTCGGACACTAAAAGAAATATCCATTTTGATTTTAACAAAAAGACATATTTTTTATCAGGATCGATTCAGTCGTTTTATATAAACATGTGTGTTTTTGTTGATTTAATGGTCCTATTTATTATATTAGAAATTACTTAAGTTATGTTTAAAAAACCCTACCGTAATTGTTACGCTGCGTTTTAGTATGGTATTAGATAGTTGAATATAGGAACCCGAGCAATAGATAAAATTGCATATTTATTATGTTAAAAGTTTGACATGAAGTTGCATGTTTTTGGTAGGGTTTTTAAAATGTTTAAATAATATTTCATCAAATTTCTTTCTATATAACATATTAAAGGCACTAGGGTTCGCAAACCAAAAAGATTGACACGATCGCATAAGACTAAGAAATTTTGTTTTTCCATATGTTTTGGAAATTATTCAAAGCGCTTTGGGCGATTTAGACGGTTTCTTATATAAAGAATATAGAGCAGTGTTGGTTTAGTTCAGCCTGCGACTCTCGTCTCTGGTCGTACACGCTCGTACGGTGAAGAAAAACATAGTGAAGCAACAGGTCTTAGACCTAAAAAGTCTACGGAGTGTGTCAGGGCTTTGCCTACCAATTATATAGAATTACCTACTTGCTTATTAGAAAAAAACATATGATCACGAAGTTAATACAGAAATCCGAGACACAGACCTTGTACTACTACTACTACTACTTGCCTATCAAGAAAAAATACGGGAAACAAAATATTGGGAGAGGAAATGTCTTTTTTCTATATCAAGTGGTTATTTGTCAACCTGACATTTCTTGACCGCGTATGCTATGCTTGAAACTTACGTAAAATAAATCGCATTTCCTTTTAAGAAGTTCTATGCAACCAATAGACAACATATACAATTTTAGGTGCTGAAAACGCTGAACCCATGCGTAATCAGTGTGCATTGGCAGCTAGTAAGTTACTCAAGAAGCCAGATCAGAGTCGCGCTGTTGCGTTATGTGCTCATCTCTTCTGGAAGGGGGCAAAGGACGGGAAACCGGTAAGAATTTATACCGCATAGTCTGTGCGAAAGAGAATTGTCGTAGGATAATTAAGTTTTATTTATTTAATTAAGTTTATGTTGACAACTGTCACGTCATTATAGTTCGACAGGTGTTTTTAAACGGGGCAAACGGGTAGGAGCCTCAACTTCTGTTAAGTACCGCCGCCCATGGACACTCTCAATAAGGGCCTCATAGCCTAGCGGTCTTATTAAGTGGCAGCTAGGTGAGGGGTACCGGGTTCGATTCCCGGTTCGAGGGCAAGTTTTAATTTAATTTTGTTCTCGGCCTTTGGGAGGGTTGTGCGGTACCGGGCGAGTGCTTAAACCGTACATGGAGGGCATGGTCGAATTTCTAAGGCAAGCAGTGAGTATGCTACCTAAGAAAGGAGACTGTATAGGTTTAGAGCGCCGGCGACTGTGAATAGGTTTCAAAAAAAAGGCAGTACTACACATATAGTAACAAGATCAAAAGTAGTATCTTCTCACTCATTCTGAATCCTCAGCTTGTAATAATGTGATATTATGTTAATGACATCTATATTTTATGTTGGCGGTATTAATCCGAATAAAAACAATAATTCGATTTTTTTAATATTTATAAAAAGATTGCTCTCTGACTTCTGATTTCCCAGCTCAAAAAAAAACATGTATTCTGTTTTAAGTGGGCCCTAAACGCAGAAACGAGAGCTCTAGAATGTCTCAAAAAGGCAGCGAAGGTCGCCCAACAATGTATGGACGGAGGTGTACAGGCGCAACTGTTGGCAGAACTATTGGGAAGATACGTTCTGCTCAGAGAGAGAGGCTGTGAGGCGCTTACCACCAACCTCATACAAGCTGTAATGAGTATATTTAATTCATATATTATACATACATCTTTTCCACTTCCAATCCTAAGTATTTTTCAATTGTTTTAAAAATTCATGCCCCACCTACATTTGCGGAAACATATAACAATTGAATCGGTAATTTCAAAAAGAACATTAGTCACAATCTGCTTACTTTTCAGGAGACATAAAAAACTGATTTCGCAGAGTATTTTCTTTTGAAGTCTTGTAGATTTTTCTCACAAATTATTGAATTAATTAGTCTGAAGTAGCACATCTATAGTTTTTTATTGTACTACTTGTATTTTTTGAGATATTTACATTTATAATATTTGGACTTGTGTTGATACTGCAACTAATATGGGAAAAATATTTTATTTTATAACTTATATCTATCACTTATCCTATATTATATTATTCCATATCATCCACTGTTGTTGTTGCCCAATCAAAATATATTGTTTGATAAAATTCTATCTAAGTGTCAGGAATGTAAGTTCGGGACAAATGTTCTTTCTGAAACGTTATTTATGTTGTTTCTGCAAAGTTCTTACACACCTCAGTGGGACTAATGTTGTTTCTGCATCTACTGACATTTTCAATCCCACGTAGCTCCATTGATATTCATCGGACTAATGTTCTTTTTTTAGGGATTTATAGATCTACCCTCAAGGGTACCATAGACAACAATAACTCAAAACACACAAATTTGGACTAATGTTCTTTTTGAAACTACCGATTCAATTGTGCTAAAACACGAAACTGCCTAGATATTTAAACTAGCATGTCTATGGTGAACAAATCTAAAATTCAATTAATACAAAAAATTAGTTTTAAATGCAATTTAGTGGATTGCAATTTTCATAATTATCAATATCTCACTTGAATATTGATTTTATATTCTTAACAGATAATTCAAAAGATCCGTGAAGAGTTAGCAAATCTGGACCAGAGTGAAGAAGTGGAACAAGTAACAAAGCACTTCCATAATACCCTTCAGCATCTTCAAAGTCGTATGGAATGCCCAGACCCAGATTCACTTGGGTATGAGGGGTTGCAACTAGCCTAAAAACTGTTTATATTGTCTATGGAAGCAATAAATAGGTTTTGTTTGATTGGATTTGGTTATGGTGTGAAATTTTGAATCTGTATCTTCTAGTATCTAGATTTACAGTGATTATATACAATATACATTACTCTTATGGAAAAAATATTAGTTGTTCTGCTGTAAAATTATATTAAGTTACTTATGAAATTATGATTTAATTTTTATCTAATAAATGTATGTATTTATCGTTATGTAGAAGACAAAAATAAATGTTACTTGCTGATAAGCTATAATCATAAATGAATCACAATGTTATCATGTTTATAATTCTAAGATCTATCAAGATGAAATATATAATTATTTTTATGTTGTTTTTTATCTTAAAACTTTAAAGATTTTCTATGCAAGATTTAGCTGTCAACATAAAACTTGGCTATACTTAATTTTCATTAAAACCTAAATCATATGTCCTATTGATCTTATGTGAATGGAATAAAAAGAAAACTGTTTGTGACATATTTAATAATTGATAAGTCAAACGAATTACAAAAGTTTCTATCAATTTCAAGTAGATTCAATGAGATATTGCCAAGTGAGATCAAAATACAAACAATTGGCAATACTAAACATTGTAATGTAATATTTGTTGTATTCTAATCCGTCTGCCAAATCATGAGGTAGCTGTAGTTTTGAAATTCTATCATTTAGCGCCAATTTCATATTGACACTAATCATAAACCAAAAAACATTATTTCCATGATGATTAAGACTTGATTTTTAAAAATTTCAATAACAATGATATTAGCAAGATGTAGATCTATTACACTACATTGACATTAGCAAAATAACAATTGGCCTCAACCAAATTAGAAATTTGGAAAAGAATGAGTATGTATTCTTAATATCTACCTGTTTTCTGTGTATCTCTTCTGAAAAATAGTTGTGAAGTTAAAATGCTACATTAGTAGCTTCACTGGTTACAATATCACTTTTCACATACAAAATGCAGTTACATTAAAAAAAAAAATACTATATTGATTCATATGGAACACAAAGCAATACTGACAATTCACATATCATATAACAGATTATATTATGTCAAAAATGTGACAAAATTATCCTATTCTAACTATTTACATAATTTATTAGTAATGACTTAATCCTCATTCATATTTAATTGGCAGACAGAAGATTCTCAAAAACACCACAATTTTAAATTCAGAAATGAGCTTTCTACATGACATGATTTCATACTTGAGTATTCAACATTAAGCATTTTTAGCACTTATTGCTTAGTCTAAGATGTACTTGAAACTAATTATCTTAATCTAAACGAGCTGCCAAAGCTCATTATGACGCTTTTTGGCCATTTTACTCTGCATCATGCAAAGATTTATTTACAAAAAAAATGATCATAAGGTATTCAATAGTTATTGTGTTTTCATTAAATTACTAATAAGCGTCATATACTGTAAACAATGCAGCCTAAGGTGCTACATCCGAAATAACAAGGGGCCTTTGTTAAGGTGCTTTAAAAGTGGTTTTTGGGAGGAAGAAAAAAAAAAATTTTTTTAAAAATTTTTTTAAAAAAAAATTTTTTTCCAAAAAAAATTTTTTTTTTTTTTTTTTACAAAAAAAATTTATTAGATTTGGGGGGGCCTGGTGTGTTATATTTATTACACTATATAGTGATTAGTAATGCGTGTTAGAGCTATCTCTACAGATAGTTTGCAAGGCGGTTTGTCTCTACTAAACCAATACACAATTTAAATTGAAAGTCCAGTGATGTTTTGTAAATAAATAAGTCCGCTTATACACTATAGTTTGAACGGAAGATTGTTCACAACCGGTTGCGACGGTTTCTTATAGCCCGTAGGCGCGCACGGCGCGACTTCGCGGATTATATATCTCCGTTTTGACTTATGCCAATCCTCTTGATGAACTCCTCTTGTAACATTACTGTTTTGATCATGTTTGGATGAGCTGCATAGGCCATGGTTTGATCTGGGGTTGAGCAAAACTGCTGTGTGCCATCTGTCAAAATAACTCCTTGTCCATTACTTAGGGAACCCGCTGACTCAATAGAGTTCCAGTAAGTTTCACTTGGAGATGTTGTGTTAACCCCTGGAGGGGGAGCTGCTGGAGCACCTGTATATCTAAAGTATGGATTTTTCAAGTCCAAAGTGTTTGAAGAGGAAATGTTGGTTCCCTCCAAACTAATGTCCATAGTAACGTCATAGCTTTGTCTTTTATTGGCCAATAGCAGTACCCGACCAGTTAAAGCTTGTCCCTGTTTAGCAAAAATAGGAGTCTCAAGCAAACATCTTACTTGGTACCAGTGAGTTAATGGCTCTGTAGGTGCAGTGGAGAGCCAAATATGTTGTGTGCTACCTGCAAATAGAACATCAAACCAAAATGCTAATCCATGGCAAGTTCCTGACTGTGTCAATTCAAATCTGAAAGGTACTTCGATTCTATGCAAATCAGTCTCATTAGCATTTAAGAAATCTACCACATGTCTCACAGATCTCGCCATACAAATGCGTACATCAAATGTATCAACAATAGGTTGTCTGAAATATTCTTTCATGGCAGCTGTGCGTAAGGCACTCAAATCAACCCCATGGAAACAAGATTGGTACCAGAAATTGGCCTTATTATATTGTTCCATAAAGAGAGCATCATCAGTGAATGGAGCTATATGTAAGTCTCCCCTTGTAGGATACATGTTACCATTTGGTTTCAACCATTTTTTTGCATGAAGATAAGTTTCTAACATGCGTTCATTGTATAGCATATAACCCATAGGTTCAGAAATTATTATATCAACACTTTCAGGCAGTTCAATTTCCTCAATTTTACCAGCTACAACTGTAATTCGGTCATGAAGTCCATTGGCTTGAACTAATGCTTGGGCATGGTGGGCCATGTTACTAGCTTCTACTGCATATACTTTCCGGGCACCAGCTTGGGCAGCAAAGAAAGACAAAATACCTGAACCAGCACCTACATCGAGGATTACCTTATTTTTGAAATCGTTTATGTTTGACAATATAGCCCGTTGATAAGTGCTTGTTCTTACATAGTCCTGCATCATGTTTTGCTGCTGACTTAAGTAACCATAAAACTGGAAATATTGCATCGCTGATGAATCTTCTGTTCGCACCGTGAAAACAGAGGACGATCTGCCCGCTTTAATCTTGCTAACAAGTAAATGGAAATTTTGACAGTCACCTTCAGAACCAAACTTGAAGAAAAGCGTTTCATTATCTATCGTAAATATATAAGATTGACCAGCCACCCGTGAACACTCGCTTTGATTGTGGACTGGAAATTCAAGCACTTCCTGAGCTAATACAGGATCCGCACGTATTACTTTAACACTAAGCCCTTGCGGGTCATAATCCACGTTTACGTTTGTAGCGAAATTAAAACGCGAAGTAAGAGCACCGTCATTGTTGACGGTGGATACCGTCACCCCGCGAAACGTGTTCGCCATTTTATTCACACACGGCGGCCTTGTTTCTATTGTTTTGATAAAACACACGCGTATGAAACAAAGAGAAATGTCGTTGAGAAGTTTAACGAAGACCGGTGTAAAATCGATCACTCACAAACTTCCTCCCTCCGTTTGTCTATGGCGGCGGCAGAGGCAGCGTGCTAATTTTTTTCTTGGTTACGGTTGCGTTCAGTAATCGAAAATTAATGTCTATGGATTAAAGGGCTGATAAAAATTTAATATATTATTTATCATGCCTACTTTTCAAAATGGCTCTTATATATTTATATATATAAACTACTTTAATATATTATATATCTCTATAAAATAATTTAAATAATGGTTATTGGTTAGTGAACTGTGAAGGAAATGTATGAAATGTATTTTTTACATTTAAGTTCGTTGAATATTCCTACATAAAGAACCAGCATTTAACTGAATTACGTATTTTGAGACGTTATTATGAGCCAAGCCAAGTTTACAAAATCATATTCAGAAAATATATTGTTCATGTCCGACATCGCCAAGTTTGTCTGAAGTTTTCTATTGTTTTTATATAATTATAGTGAAAACTTTTCGCTAATCGGTGAAGCCCTGTTAAAGTTTTATAGTTTTTGTAGTTCGTGCTTAATTTTTACTCATTTTGTCTACAAGACTACAAGTCACTCGAGAGTATGGTTCTCAAATCTCAATTGACATTTAATTTTCGCACTTCACTGTCATAATCACGTTGCAGACTGCTCACTGCAGTGATAATAATTAATAACATATGTTTTCAGCTATCATATTCCGGGTAGTTTGATTTTATAATTTTAAGGTTATACCAGTGTTTTTTATTTTATTTTTAATATTAATTGATATCATTCTAAAACTTCTACATTTTAAAATGTCTAAGAAAATAAAAACAATGAATTGGCAAAGTGTTTCATTAGAAGGATTCCCCGTAAATATGTCGGATAAATTCGAAGGTTTTGTGGGCTTAGAAGAGTGTACCGATTATGGCCTGGATAAAGGCAATAAAACAACAAAAAAGGTAAAATATGCGAGCTCTATAAGTTTAAGTTAAAAGATCTGGCTATTGCATTAAATAACGATCTAGATGGTATTGCAGGAATAAATATTATTTAAACAAGCATGCTTCAGGGTCCTCAGAAATGTATGTTTAATACCTTTTTTCTAAAAATACAGGCTTAAATATATGGAATGGTCATTTATCAATTTAAACATGTACGCAATATATTCTGTATTTATTGATGTTTGATTGAAACAGTTGCCTAAGCTTTTCTGTTTAATAATTGTCAATCTATAAATATGGTATTCAAAAATTCAAATTCTTTATGTTATTGCTCATTTTAATAGAAAATATTACATTTTCCAGAAAAAAGAACCAAAAAAGCGAAAGACACAAGAAAATAAGCCAGAGAAAGAAAATTGTGTACCAAATAAAAAAATTAAACTGAGCAATGGTTTTATTGTAGAATCTTGTGAAGCAGTCAGTCCATCATTAACTAATGAAGTCACAGTGAATAAGAAGAAGAAAAATAAATCTCAATCAGAAATCAAAGTCGAAAGTGTAAAAAAATATGCTAAAAACATTTCTAAACAAAAACTTAAACTAGGCGAGAATATAAAAGATGACAAATCTGAATTAACACCTGAAGATATGTTGACCTGGGCTGAGTTTAAGTTGCCTGAGGAAATTGTAAAAGCTTTAATGGAGCTGGGTTTTAAACAGCCAACAAAAATACAGCAATTATCATTACCTGCAGCAATTCATGGTAAATTGGTTTAGTTTATATAAAATTAAATTATATATATATAATATAGTACCTTTTGTATACCTTAAATAAATAAGATGTGGCAGTCTGACTGCGACTATTTCAGTACTATATGTACTTATACAATCTCCTAGATTGTTCTAACCTAATTTTATGACAAAACACATACAGATATTTTAAGGTACTTCATTTTCCTTACTCTCAATAACCAACATTCTGTTTATAGGACGGCGAGACATTCTAGGAGCAGCAGAAACTGGTAGCGGAAAGACACTTGCATTTGGTCTGCCAATTCTCTCTGGTATCATGAAGCTTAAAGAAAAGGCTAAATTAAAAAATTTAGATGTATATGAAATACCATTTAAAAAAACCTCAGCGAAGAAGAAACAGCTAAATATCAATGAAAAACCACAAAAAAGGACTAGAAGAAACAACAAAAATAGCAAGAAAGTTCAGGCAAAAGAATCATCAGAAGGTTACAGTAGTGGCGATGAAAGTGATAGTGTAAGTAATGAAGATAATGCTGGAAATGAAAAAAAAGATACTCCTAATAAATCAGATGATTTTGTTGAAGAAATAGAAATCCCGTTCAAAAAACCAATTGAAGTAGATGAAGGAAATGATAGTGATAGTGATAATGAATATGTACATTTATCAGAAATGTTTGATTCTGATGATTTGGCATCAAGTGATGATGAAAATAAAAATGATGAAAGTAATCTAGACATAAGATCTGATGAACAGGATGGAATTGATGAAGTGGATAAAGATGAAACAGGTATGTGTGTGTCTATTGGGGACTCAGCACTATGTCCCCACTGTCACTGTCACAACCAAAGACAAAATATTTTTCTAAATTAGAATTCATTCAATTGCCTCTAATAAAAGTGTTTAACAAAGCCATTTGTAACTCTTATATTTTTTTATTTAAGGAATTGGGTGTGTCAAAGTACTTGAAGGTTCTGATATACCCCAACAAGCATTAGTGAAGACGGGAAAACCACTGTATGCCTTAATAATAACACCTACTAGAGAATTGGCCATTCAGATCAGTCAGCATTTGATTGCTGTTGCTAAATATACTGGTAAGTTACATTATATTAATGTGAGCGACCCCAATTGCAGAATAGCACAAGAAACAACCTTTACTATTTTTTTATATATGTGAATGAAGTTCTATTTCATTATATAATTTTAAATGTTTATGTACCTTTTAATAAAAAGAAGAAATCTATTTTGTCAGTCACTGTTTTTTTTTTATTGAATTTTATAAAAAGGTTTTTAATCCATTTTTTTTTTTTTTTTTTTTTTTCCCCCCTTTTTTTTTTTATAAAATTTTTTTTTTTTTTTTTTTAAAAAAAATCTTTTTTTTTTTTTTATAAAAAACAAATATTTTTTTTTTTTTTTTTTTTTTTTTTTTTTTTTTTTTTTTTTTTTTTTTTTTATAAAAATCACTCCCCCAACCCCCCCCCCCCCCTCCCAAATCCCCCCCCCCCCTTTTTTTTACCCCACCCCCCAACAAAATTTTTTTTAAAATATTTTTTTTTATTTTTTTTAAATTTTTTTTTTTTTTCTTTTTTTTTTTTATTTTTAGTGTAATTGTTTGTTTTTATATATATTTTCTGTTACCTGTAGAATTATGAAATAAATAAATTCTTGTCTTGATATTTATATTAATCTACTATCTCTATTTAAATGTTTCATTGGATTTGACTACTTGAAAAAATTATTTCTTTATGGGTGGCAGTCTGGTTAAATGATCTATATGCCTAGTCTTCAACTAAACTTAAAAAAACTGAATAAAAGGTTATTAATTAAATTTGATTATTTTATATTTTAGGCATAAGAGTTGCAACAATAGTGGGTGGAATGGCGGCTGTGAAGCAAGAGCGTGTTCTAAAAGCATCTCCAGAAGTAGTTGTAGCAACACCAGGGCGATTGTGGGAGTTGGTGAACCAAGGAGAACCACATTTACAACAATTGCCTTCTGTCAAGTATGTATAATAATAATATATTTGTAGAAGATAACATAATATATTTTTTTATTAATATGTATTTTGCTTTTGTTTTATATCATTGTTTAAATTTAATCATATTACATTTCTGAATGATTGCTAGTCGTATAAATTGAGAACAAATTCTCATAAAAAGTATAGTAAGTGCCTTATTTGTTGCCATGGTTATTTTATGTATTTTGTAATACAGCTAACATAAATTAAATCTAAAACAACTAAACTAAACATATAGCCAAAAGGGTAAAATTGGAAGGGAAAAAAAAAAAAGGAAAAAAGACCAAATAGGGGGGGAGGGGGGGGGGGGGTATGGATATCCTTAATACTCCTTTTAATCATAATCCGCAATAGCTTAAACAAGTAAAGGTTTAATAGTGAAGTACAAACTATAGTTTAAATTTTTTGTCTACATCTTTTGAGTTTCTACCTCCATTATTTAACTTTTTGTCCGTAGATTCTTAGCTATAGACGAAACGGATAGAATGATAGAACGAGGTCATTTTGATGAGTTGGAACCGTTGTTGGAAAGACTCAATTTGGAGGAGAGTTACAAAAATGCAAGACAAAATTTCGTTTTCTCAGCTACCCTCACAATGGTACATGATTTACCGTCACATATGAAAGGAAAAAAGGTAACAATTATATTTTATTAAATTCACTTAACATACAATATATTTTGTTCAAAAATAATAAAAGTAAGTATTTACAAATTTTTAAATAAGGAATGTTCGTGCGTGATTCAGTGGGTATACGGAAAGCTCCGGGATATATTCCCGGCGAAACAATAATTATTACACGTACAACGGGCAATAAGTTTCTCTTAGTAAATTATGTTTTATATTTAACTTGATTAAATAATTGTAGGTAACAAAACGAGGTAAAATAATTAACCGCAAAATAGAGAAGATGACTCCGCAACAGAAGATTAAAAGGCTT